AATGTGAATACTACAGATGATATCACACCAGGATCTTCTTGAGAGTTTTTCATTACACTGGATGAGAAAAGTGTGGAATTACCTCATTTATTTCTCATATTATTCAGATAATCTTGAGGTGATAACTAAAGTAAAACTGTTAAAATCATCGTGCTATAAATAAAATTATGTTTTGTTCTATGGCATTACTCTGAAAATTCTATGCAGATTAAGTTTCTCCATGGAAAATTTAGTTTATTCAAGATGAGCTTAAATAGACAAGCAGGTATTCTAAAAAGAATCTAATTCTTTGAATAGTATGTAACATCGAGGAACAGTCCAGGCTATCCATATCAAATATTCATTCATTACACTATCTGTTTCTCTACATAAATATACAAATAATTTGAAATATTTCAGTGGTATAGTTTCCCATTTTTTATTCTTTTGTTACTCTGGATATTACTTGAATTATGATTTAGGAGTCAAACGTCAATAGTTATCAATAATAAAATCATTAAGGTTTTATGCTTAACATGGTTTGATAAGAGCTGAAATGGAAATGACTAAACTCGAACTTTCTCTTATGGGAAAAGTTTGTATATTTTGTTTCTGCTAGATTGTCTGTTCATAATATTACTATATTATCATATCTGCAATTAGTGATTTGATTCACTAACGGGTGTGATGTCTTTTGCCGCCCATGAATTTACTATAAACCAGTTACTCAGATTTTCTTAAGAATATTTTAATTATTTAGAGACTGAGATTTGTTACTGATGATTCGTAGTAATATCATATCAAATGTATGCAGTCACGCGTTTTTGAGTTTGAATGATTCAAAATAATTGGTTGGTCCTTCTTATAAGTATGTTGAAAGTCGGTGGATTTTGAGTCAGATTGTCAAATGCTAGAGGATACCGTAGCACAGTGGATTCATTGTCGGTGGAGATCACATTATATAGTTTGGTTCTCTTTCTGCGAATATCGCAGTATTTTAATTTAATGTTATTTCTGAAATTTGGATTAAGTTGCTACTTTTTATCAGCAATTAAAGGTAAACTTTTTAAGTCAACCTACGTTGCCATCGTCATTCAAAACCTGGTGATTAAGATGTTTAAGAAAAGCACATTTAAAGTAATTTGTGATCGTTCGAACAGATGATCAGCTATTCACATTTCCGGAGATTCTCAATCTATGTTGGTTAATAGAGGACATTTTGAAGTTCGAGTTACACACAACTGGCAGCTATGGAAATATGCAGTGCACGGAAGTGAGATACACCAGATGAAAAACAACTGTGGTAAAGGTTAGGGTTCAAAATGAAAATTTTAAAGCGAATTACAATTCGATATGCAGCATTCGTCAGTTGAGTCAATGCAAAAATGATAGGAAGTGTTGAATGCGATACTTACTTACTTACTTACTTACGCCTGTTACTCCTCGTGAAGGAGCATAGGCCGCTCACCAGCATTCTCCATCCAACCCTGTCCTGGGCAATCCTTTCTAGCTCCGTCCAGTTGTAATTCATCCTTTTCATATCTGCTTCTATTATCCGACGTAATGTGTTCTTTGGCCTTCCTCTTTTTCGCTTCCCTTCAGGATTCCAAGTTAGGGCTTGTCTCGTGATACAGTTTGACGATTTGCGTAATGTATGTCCTATCCATTTCCATCGTCTTTTCCTAATTTCTTCTTCAGCTGGAAGTTGGTTTGTTCTCTCCCACAGAAGGCTGTTGCTGATGGTATCCGGCCAATGGATGTTGAGTATCTTGCGAAGACAGCTATTTATAAATACTTGTACTTTCTTGATTGTGGTTGTTGTAGTTCTCCAAGTTTCAGCTCCATACAGTAGAACTGCCTTGACGTTCGTATTGAAGATTCTCACTTTGATATTGGTTGAAAGTTGTTTTGAGTTCCATATGTTCTTCAATTGTAGGAATGCGACCCTTGCTTTGCCGATCCTCGCCTTTACGTCTGCATCGGATGCGATACAGTGAGCATTAAAGTATCGCGGATCACAGTTCATTATTGAGGTATTTTGTGCTTGCAATCATTTTCTTAGATGCATGTAGCGATAATAAATGTATATTACAAAACAACTTGGATATATATATATATATATCCTTCAAGTATAAGTTTGTTAGTCTCAGTTGAGAGCTTGAACTTTTGGTTAGTAGTCTTAAAAAATCAGTTAGATAATAATAATTAATTGACATACAAAATATTAGTTGAGTTAATGACACGAGTATGTCTTTCGTGGTTAACAATAGCAGAAACTTCAAACTATTTTGTAAAGCTTATATTTAAAAACTAAGTAAGATGTCTTACGTACTACTAATAAATAAATTTACTAATTATGTACCGAACCTCGTATTGAACAGAAAAAAAAACAATATTTGGAGAAATTCAAGTATAAGTTCTAACTGATTTCAAGATTTATAACGGAATTCGTAAGTGCCCTGCTTCTGATGTATTTCAAGATATTTGCTGAAATATCACAATAAGTAGTTGACATAAGCAGAATTTAGTCTTGTCATACGATTGATTCTAGAATTTATGGGTTGTTTTATAGTTGCATAACCATAGGGCAGTAGAAGTGATGAGTGAAACTAAGTGAAAATGCTTACTATGTACTCGTGATTGATTCTAGTTATGCTCAAAACTAAACGTATGAATAGCTAAATAGTACTTGAAACGAATACTACATCGATTCGGTCTAACTTTACTGCAACCTGTTTTCACTTAACTAGCAGTGTTATTTTAAAGAATTACTCATTTGTTGAGTCGATATGCGTATCCCTTATTTCTTTTCTCTCAATTGTCTCATATTTACCTTATTCCTGTACTAATTACAACATATTGGTGCTTCACAAACAGATTGTACTGATCCTAACTTAGGTTTTGGATAAACTCTAGGTTGATAAAACAAAAAAAGTACTAAAATCCGTAAGTACACTAACTTTTATAAGCATCCAAGTAAAAGAAACGTAGATTTACTGTAAAGCAACATTTTGAATGATTTAACTGTTCAGTTTTTCTATGTTAGTTTGATAATGGTCCTAATAGATCGATGATTATTCGTTGTATGTGATACAAGTTCATTTAAATTGAAATAATACGTCAGGATTTAACTCAGTAAATGGATTGAAACAATAATACGCCAATCTAGCAGCATGAGTATATATATATATATATATATATATATAATTGATCTGTAACGCTGTGTTCGTATGAAAGCCTTTGTATATAATTTAATTATGCTTTTTATTTACCATTCTAATAAATTCATATACGTTCAATCTTTTATCCATAAGTGCTTGTTGATTAGTAGCTATTACACGACATTTAGAACAGATCTCGGAATTTCAATGTTTTTGAGCATATTTAATACGATTATTTATTCTATCCTCATTATGTATTGCTAAGCAATTGAGCAGGTGACTTAGTGTATAAAGCTACGGATTTCAGATCATGGATCGTAGATTCGAAAGTTCCTTAGACTATTTTGGCTACATATGTTTGTATTTACCAAACAAAAAATTCATTCTGAAAATTTATTTTCTTTAAACAAATGAAACAAATAAAGAAACTGATTTTGCATTTCAATTCATCATATATAAACAATATCGATTCAATCTTCTTATAAAAAAGCAGTAAGGATAGTTATATTCTTAAATAAAAATTCAAACTGTTCAAATGAACGAATAAAACATAATTCATTAGAAAAAAGAAACAAAATAATTAGACAGTAATTAATTTCCAAGGAGAGAGAAGTTGATGACGAAGTATTCACATACTAAAGACATTAAATGATTCAGTAAAAGAACAAATGAAAGGCGATTTCAATTTCATAGGAAAATTAGGTTTTTCAAAGAAAATTTCACTTCAATAGTTAGATGACCATTAAAACAAAGAAAAAGTTCTTGAAATAAACTAGAAGCATCTATAGTTAGAACAAACTGAATAAATTGAAGTGAATTAGTACAGAGAAAGTCAATCAAGTTGATATAGAATCTGACTTGCAAAAGACTAACTTTACCATCTTGTCTAATTTTGATTAAACAAACATTATCAAAGAAGTGAGTTAAAACGACAACAATACTAAGTGTTTTATTGTTTTTTTAAAGGTAAGGTCGGTCGAAATGAATAGTAGATAGGGAGAAATCTCACTGCATCTAATACACTAATCCTGACCAAAAAAACAGGAATTAAGTGTTGAAGAGTGAATAGAAATCTGGAAGAATATTTGCTTAATCGAAAACGACAGAGAAAATCAAATCAGTTGACCAACCAGACAACTAACCAATCATAAGGCTACATATAATGTCGGACGAATATACGGAATATATATTAGTAGTATGGAGAATGCTGGTGGGTGACCTATGCTCCTCCACGAGGGGTAACAGGCGTAAGTAAGTAGTAGTATATAGAACTGATCAAAATCATTAACGCATGAAATAAAAATCAAAAATCATTATTAAAATAGAGATTATTCAAGCAAACATCACACATTTATACACAAAAATGAAATTATGTACTGGGAAAAAATGACAGAACCCGTGAGATCTTTGAAAAAAATAAAAACGATACACAGGTAACCGAAGAGATTTCAGATACATATGTGAGTGTATGGATAATATTCTGAGTGTTAAGAGAGCGAATGAGAACGAGCGAAATACGCGTAGAAAGAGAAATCGACCAACGAATACATTTGTGTTGGATATTTTTGGCTCTATGATAAAAGTGCATTGTGAGAACAATAGGAATCAACAGTGATAAAAACAAGTAAACGAGGAAATGAATAAAATTTTCGTTTACTTGTTAAACAGTGAAAACATGATACATACCACCATACAAACGTCTGGGTAGAAAACAGTTGAGCATACACAATATTATTTTTAAAAATTGGTTTATGAAAATGAGGGGGAAAATACTTCAAAGGACATTAACCTGGAATTTGTATGTATAAATCCGTAAAGTATATGCGTAAATTAGAATAAATAAATAAACAACACACTGATTCATGAAGTTGGTCGAGGAGGAATGCGCGGCATACCAACATTACCTGGACGTCTAGATTTAATAAAAATGTAAGCGCAAAAAAATGCAGAAAACGTTTGAATAAAAGTAAAACACATTATGCACAATACATCTATAGCCAACTTATTTATTCATTTATTTATTTGAACACATAAATATTGGTACAAGAGGGCACCAAATATATATGCGCCACACATAATATATATAATGTATCAGATTTTAATCCAAGGAATAAATAGATTAGTGGCAGTATAACTCGTTCGAAACCAAATGAACCTATTATATGTATGCTTTTAATAATTTGGTGTATAAAAGCTTATCAGGATGAAATTAAGAAAAGACGAACATAGTTGGATATGAAAATAATTTCTTAGGTGGATAATGTGTTTGTAGATAGATAAAGAGAGAATTGTATAGATCAATTATAAGCAATGACTAACATTGAAGATGTGAACGATTAAGTTAAGCGATTCAACATCTATAGCTTGAATAATCATATCAACAAAGTTCTATTCATATACAGGGTCAAACATAGGGTTATTCGACAAACTTCTAATACACTTTATATGGAACACTATCAAGTGATAACACTGAAAATATTAGGTTAAATTTCAAGTAAAAGATCCTTTATGTAGCAGGTACTTAACGAATAATTTTCAAATTCATAATCTGATTACTTAAACAACTTTGTGCGTATACATATCTAGATATGATATATATATATATATATATATATATATATATATATTACTGTAGGCATTGTAAACTCTTAAACTGAAGGATTGAGATCAATGCAAGAAGTGTAGATCGTAATGGTAAAAAATTTACTTATTTCGTAGGTTCAGTTAATTCCAAGCAGAATTTAATGAACGGTTGGTGTAATGTCAATAAAAGTTTAGTAAATGGAGATTTATTGTTCCTTTTATTGTTATTTTTATAATAAACAGCCTATCCCAAAATAAGTTTACTTCAAATATCAAACTAAACCTTGGTATTAATACTAAATGTGAACGCGTTACTGGTCTAGAAAATGACTTAAAGACTACTGGTTTGGTCTCTAAAATGATTTAATTTACTGACCACGTACAATGTCATAACAGATGTCCAAAGTATGTTACGTTTTATAGCCTTTTAAGTGACGTCAACTTATAAAAATGTTGTTAACATGGAGTCACATGTAACATCAAATATTACCGTATTTACGTTATTGCAACTGAACTAGATTTGATCTTCGAATTAAAAAACTGCTTTATATTAATTATTAAGCTAAAATAAACAAAAATTATACATAATCATTGTTAATAACAAATAGTAATCAAAATATTAACTGGAAGTTGAATATCAACACAACTGACTGAAACTCACTCCGGTATACTTGGATGTCCAAGATTACCAGATAACGATGTTAATTTCGGTGGTGGAATCGGTGGTGCTATTGCACTTGATTGGGACTGATTAAAAAGAGGATCAAATGAAACCCACGGTGCATTAGTAGTAGAATAAGTGGTATTTGGTGTTGAGCCATTCGATGGGTTAGTAGTCATAAATGTATTTCCACCAATACCACCGGAAGATATAGTACCTGGAAGGTTACCAGTACTTGCACTTTGAGAAAGACCATTATTGAATTGTGGCATTCGTCTGCAGATTGATATAAAGAATATACATATAGACGATGTATAATGTTAATAATAGTACGATAAAGCAGTTTTGAATAGAACAGCTTGTTGTCTTTTTTATAACTAAAACACGATCATAATATTGATGCACAAGAAGGTGAAATTCTGTGATAAAAGTAAGCGATACTGAGGACCTTGAGCCAATCAGTGGATAGTGTTTAGTTATACAATAACTAACAATGAAAAGCGATAAATAGTTTGTAGGATTTACCAAACTATACATGTTAAATTATTCATGATAGTAGAGGTAGAAGGCTGAGGTTACTTATTAGGAAATGGATAAGTGTACTAAATTAGGATTAGTTTTTGTCACGAAATGATATTAGCTACATTGCAGTGATGTTTTGTCAGTTCTTTATTGATTAGCTTATGAAAATTAGGGTTGAGAATTAAAGTTGGAGAATTCTAACATCTTTAACTATTCATTGAATCATGTCAAGTAATATTACATAAAATCTGCACTAGTACCAAGTATTTCTTGTAATTTAGCCTAAACATTACGTCACATTCACTGTTTGGCAACACAACAGATATTTTTAAAAAAAGTAATTATACGTGTTTAGGGAACCATATATTGCCAAATTTCACTTACTTTACAATGAAATACAAGCTATCTTTTACTGTGTTTTCAATTTCATGCAAACATGCAAAATGTATTATTTTAATTCTGATTAGTTTACCGAAGGTCGTCGGTATTTCTTTACCAATTCGGTGGTGGAGAAGATTTATAGCTCTGAGAACAAAACTCCACCAAAATTACCAATTCGGTCTTACGAAAAGATTTCAACTACGATAGGTTAAAAATTTATATCAATTGCATAGTGGTAATTATTGGTAGCTTAGAGGTTGATTCATTAAATTAAAACTTATATCAAGATATGTGATATAGAGTGTAGATAACAAAGAGAAATTTATATCTTCCCAAATATTTATTCATACAACATAGTAGTAGTACAGAAAACAATAAGCCCAGAGACTGGTTAAAACATAGAAATGGTATGAATGTCAATAGAATAGCCAGTAACATTTTTATATTGAATCTAAAAGAAAATTATACTGAATAATTACAATTCTGTAAGGAGAGAAACTAACGAAAAAAAATGTTTCTATTACAAGTTACGGATAAATATGCATAAATTATAAAGAAGCATATTAGTTTTCACTAAATCAGATTACTTACAAATAACTGAATAAAAAGGAAATGAAAGTTTCTAAGTTCAAATTATTCAATGAAATTGGTGTCAATTAATGTTTTGGCCTTAGGAAACAAAAGTATCTACTATAGAATATTAACAATAATTAATATGATTGTTCTGAAATGGAATTTATTAAAAAATATTCACAATAAGTAGAATGAAACTATTTTTCATTTATATTTCAGTTGATTTATGAGATAGATTTATAGTTATTTATTTGAACACATAAATATTGGTACAAGAGGGCACTAAATATATATGTGCCACGCAAAACAATGAGAATTTGAAGAGAAGAAGGGAGAAAAAGGTAAGGAGCGTAAAAGAAAAAAAACGAACAGATTAGTGTAAGGCAGCGTAATAATAATAATAGTGGGAACAGAAACGTACAATCAGAAGAGGCCTTTCAGTTAAGGAAGAAGCAACCACTTTTTATGAAGAAAGTAAAAGAAGGTTATCGTAGGATTGCCACTGGCTCCTATTCTGAGTCATATCTGATAACGTCTCTAGCCACTTTATGAGATAGAAAGGGATGATTTTTGATTTTGTGTATACATTTTACAGATTTACAGTCTTAAAAAAAAAGAAGCAGGTTACAAGTATTTATAAGATTTTTCAGTAATAATATAATGTCAAAAAATGGTTCTTATTTATAAAATGTCATTGTTAAGATTTAGAACGTCACAAAACAAAATAAATAGGTTGAATACAAGAAAACACCAACTGGTGTGTATGTTTATGAAATATGGTTTTGAATTAAATTGTTTCCTGAATTCAGTAAAATAAAATTTCAACATGATTTTCTAGTTCACAGAAGGATATAATTCAATGATCAGGTTAAATAAGCCGAAACATTTTCATTCGCTTCATATATACGTCTTAACCAACTAGATACTATAAGTCATGTGTAACTAAGGTTATATTTATACATGGCTCTATTCCAGAACCGTAAAGACCAAAACTGTAATAACTCACAAAGCACACTGTGAGGGATTTATGCATTAAAATCGTATTACTGATGACTAAGTAGCTTTTTATCGCTTATCTTCTAGTATCTCATTAGTTAGTCGTAAAATAACTGTTCTGTTGTTGGTTGATATATTTTTCTGTATTCAATCATATTGAACTAGTCATTATTGTATTTGTCGATGCTGTCAATTGATTATTCTCTCTGAGTTTATCACCTTGAGACTTTTAGCACAGCCATTTATTATTAATCCATATTGATTTATCAATATTCTGATAAATCAAAACAGTTTGCTGACTTCAGTAGACCTCATGTGAATTGTCCCGATAATTTTAACACACTATGTGCAACAAAATGAAAAACATCTATTTAGGAAGCTTATTTCATGACAAAAAAGGGCGGCTAATTCGTTCTATTTTGCTATAAATCTATATTGCATAAGATTTAGAAACAGATAACATTGTTAGCCAGTATGAAATAAATGTTTACAAATTAAACAATTAGCCTTATTATTATTATAAATATATAGTCGTAATAATTCCATGTCATTCAACAAAAATTAGTTAAAAGTTATATATCATAGTTAAGTCTCGAATTTCAGAAGAGAATAGTAATCCTATTGTTATGTAATCTCACTACGATAGAAGCCATGTGTAGTAATTCTTTCTACAGTACAATTTTAAACCAACCATACATTAGTTTAACAAGGAAATATTTACTAAGTTAGACTAAATAGTAGCTTAATTAAAAAATTAAAAGCTTATAAGAGTTGATTTATTAGTATTTCTTGAAGATCATTTCGATGAGATATTTTGATGTTGAATGATTCACATCAATCAATTTCTGGATCACGAATTAATGCTAATACTATTACGATAAATAACAAAATATGACAATGAACCTTTATTTTTTAATATATCAAATGTTTGGATTAAATCTAGAAAATCTGTTTTGTAATCGTACTTATGCTGACAGATTTAAGCCGTATGTTGCAACAATCGGAAGTGGAATGCTCGTCCAAAGAACATCCAATTAAAAAGAGAAAGTAACAATGAGTGGAATTGTAATCACAAAATAATTAAAAAGAATCAAGAAGTATGTAGAGAATATGTGAATGAAGACGTGCAAATAATGTATTTAAAGTATAATCTTCATATTTTATAAAGGCATTGTGTAATTTCGCATGTAACAAAAGATTAGTTTACCGTACCTGAGTTCTCGTTCACTACAGTACAAATGATGCGAACTTAAATGTTAATAATAATAATAATAATAATAATAATAATAATAATAATAATAAAGCCTACACCTAGAAATTGCAATTTCTAAGTTGCTATAAAATGTGTGTTTTCGTAAAGAAAATTGATCAGAAATGTGAAATAGCAAAAATTATGGTAATCTTAGCGATATGATCGTACAGTAAAATATTAGTGATCGTATACACTTTAGAAAAAAAGCCAAATTCATTAAACCCAGTTATCAATAGTACATAAATTGACAGTCAATACTGAGGCGTCATAAACGTGGCATGAGTAAGTTTTAAAATATTTTTCAGTATTAAAAATACTACATATTTACCACAGAAGATACATGTAACGAACCAAGTAACTTTCTAGCAAGTTTGGAGATACTAGCTTAGGTACATTTTATGTCTTAACAATAAAATATATTGCATAAGTACATAAATTCATTGATATAAAAGGGGAAAAGTTAATGGATGATTATGAATTATCTTTTTTTTCATTTACAGTAAGAAAAGAACAGTAAAAATTCTTCCATATAATCAAAAACAAAAACAGACTTTAAGGCGTATTCTTGTTATTATGCATTAATTATTACTACAGGAAACACAGAAAAAGCTCAGTAATAAAGCTTGGGAAATATGGTGAATTTGTTGTTGTTGTAGTATGCCCATAACGAAAAACCAGAACAGAAAATATCACAATGAAGATATGAATAATGAGTGAAAATTAGTAGTAATGATAACTACTATTACAAATAATAATATTAAGAATAAGTAGATATTTTAACCAATAATTCCGGAAAGATTAACTTGTTACTAAGAAAGAAGGAAAGAACAAATAGAAATTATGTATTATGATCCATGTCCATATTTTACAAACTAAACATATTCTTTAGCTGAACTCTTATGTTTGTCCACAACCAGTGGCCAAACCAAACGCATCAGAAATAAGATCAGGTAAATCGTTATGGTTTTCAATACACCTACGTGAATTTGTTCTTACATTTGGTCAGATGATGAAATCAGAATTCAAGTAACTAATGAGTCATTTTTATGACCTTTTAAAAGTGTGTGTGTTTATAGGTATGATTTATTTGTGAGCATGCTTGTTTATTGTTTACCTTATTTATTTTCTATTTCAATAAAATACAAGTTTATTTAAAGACTCATATTGTGGGTTCCAGGTGTACCAACTTTCATGATTCACCTATTCAATTTAAATTTATGATCTTATCTCCCCATGTTTGGATGCTTGAAGTGACATCTTACAGTTATATTTTGTACATGGCCTTTTACTACTATCATTGTATAAATGAAATTAGCTACAGGAGGTATATGTTTAATAGAAACGTGATCGTAAGATAATTCCATTGGCTAGTTTTAACCTTTATCCAAAGAGATGATCGACATGTTTTATTGTCATTTTGGGCATTATTACTTGTCACTATAAACATACGTACTGTATACTGTTTTTGGAATATGAGGACGCGTCAGGTTATGAATTATTTTTTTAGCAAGTATAGAATCTATTTTCTACTAATACATCGACTAAACTAAATAAACTGTATTCAATAGTCACTGCTCCATTCACAGGTTTCTGTACTCGGGTAACATAGCTAGATTTTAATTATTTGGAAGCTACTGATAGTGATCAGATATACAAAGTGAAAAAGATGGAGGTAAGAAGGCTTAAATCTACAACACTTGTGGTGGTTTGGACAAACGGGACTTTATTCAGCTAGATAAACTTCAAATGTAATGATTTTCTTTTTAGTCTTTCATATCTATTTATATTACCAAAGCCTATACGTCAAATACGCAGGTTAAATTTACAGTTAGTTTCATAAACAAAGTGATATGTTCAACTGTCTGTTGTTCTCTGAAAGTGATACTCCACTCGACTCTTCCAAAGTGGGAAAAAAATTGAGAACGAACAATACGAATTCCAATAACCCGAAATACAAAGATAAATTAGAACAAACATTAGAACTTAGAATTTACAAAGGAATCTTATAATATCTTCGCGACTCATCTCTTAGTGTTGAGTGGTCAAAAAATGAACCAATCAGCAAATTCTGACTTTAGATTCTCTGGAGCATGGAATAGTCGGAAACCCATCCTACTAACAGAGGTTGAGTTTTAAAGGATTTTTTAATTTCACTAATTAGTGAAGTAAGAAAACAAAAGCCGATAAACAATGGGGGAGAACTGAATGGTGTCTGATGTTATTCTGATATAGACATTTGAACAGTTACATATTCTTCTACCGTATAATTTAATATGTAGGCGAGAAAAAGCCGCTAAAATGAGCCTAAGTTATCTTGCTTTCTCTAACATAAGTGAGTTCTTTTGTGAAAGAAATATCGAGAAAACTTTCTTCGATTCAGATTTCCACGCACTGATGTACTATTGTCATTCGACTGGCTTTTTCCACTTTTAGCTTCTTAATTTTACTATAGGCTCCAAGGTTATACTTTTGTTACATAAGAAGAGTCGTTCAACCCAAAATTTGTCTTCTTTAATTTCAAGCTTTCTATAAAGTCCAGTCTACTTTTGCCTTCCGTTGCGCTTGAGATAATTGTTGAAATGTAGAGTGCCAGTTATCCGGTCAACTGAGTTTGCATTAGATCCCTTTGTATAAGAAACATCTCGATCGTTAATACTTAGAAATTATCACAGACCAATCATAAAGCACCGAAAACAAACTGAAGTTTCTAATAATGTTCGTAGAAAAAAGACAGTTTTGAAAGTTGTCTAGTACACTCAATTATTTCAAAGTTATTGAGATATACAATATAAGACAAAGCATTTCTAATAAACATATCATATAATTATGTTAAGATAAATGAACAAGAAATTAATTGATTTCTTAAGAAAAAAGCATTGGATAAGAAAAATACAACTGAAATACATCAGCTTTCTAACATAAAACAAATAGAAAATATACAGCCGCTTTGTTTACTTTATCATATATAAGAAAAGATACTACTAAGTAGATACAAACCAAAAGGTTAAGGCAAAAAAAGAAACGGGAAAGGCGACGCAAAGTTACTTATTTTGTGAGTGGTTTCAAAGCTTTGGGAAATCCGTGAGATCCCAAATCCATGTGAACTATGATTAATGAAGTTTGAAGATAGGGGCATTAGTCTATAATGAATATAAGAGAACACTTATATTGTAAAATTTGTATAACATCTGATCTCACTTACTGACTGAGTTGTACTTTGTGCTGAAGCACTTTTGTTGTGGTCTAATCTAATTCTCAATCAAATGGCCGAATGAGTAGTGATTAAGTATCTAGTGATGGTACGTTGCTATAGCACAGTAATTCTTATTCGTAAATCAGTATTTCGAAATATATCTTTCTTACAATAGATTTCATACGTCATTCTGTGATGCCGATGTGCTAAATGAATTCATAAGGAATTAAGAACATGTTGGTGTACGCAACAGATATAATTTCTAGCTATTTGATAAACAAAATTAGGTTGAATGTTATTTCGCGATAAATCAATGTATGATCTAAGTATTACGTAGTCAGACAAGGAACTTCTATGACTGTAATTATGCTACTGACTATTTCCTGCTATTATTTGTGTTCTATATCATTACCAGTATTTATAGATTTACATTGTTTCGCGTATTGTTTTTCTCTCTCAGTGAACTAAATGAAACTAACAAAAATACTGCTTATCTTCAGGCTAGTTACCGCATATAGGGAGAGAGAGATAGTAACGCCCATTCATCTTTGCTTACTCATTATGCTGTATACATGAAATACAGTGCAACAACAACAAAATGAGTAACTAGAATATGAAAAACTTTAAAGTGAACATACTCAGCAAGTTAAAGAAAGAAACGATGGGAAACAGAAGATATTTTGTATATTCAAAATAAATACGGAAATGGTTATATATTATGTAGAGAAAATCGATTACAATTATTGTTATAATTGCCAGTTGAAATAAGATTTTAGGAGGTTATTAACTTTATTCACTAATTAAAAATAGTCAGTACAAATGAATTTCAGTTTATAAAAAACTTGCACACTTATGGCTAGTGTGTGAATACATATGAGAAGATAGTCAACATCATACGATGAAATACAATGCAAAGTCGTAAATGGAAGACGGCTAACAGACGCATTCCAAGTTAGGACCGGAATCAGACAATGCTGCTTATTCTACCTCTCCCTCTTTCTTCTGGATTATGAAGACCTCGACATCTGAGGGAAAGTACGGAATACGATGGACAGTTAAGAATCAATGGACGACTTGAACTTCTCAAATGAGCTGGACCTTCTATCCCCTACGCATCAACAAATGCAAATGAATAGAACCAGTGTAGCAGCCTCTACATACACAAGTGTAAAAGCAAAATCCTCAAACGCAACACGGAGAATATCAACTCAATCACACTTGATAAATAAACTTTGGAATAGGTGGAAACCCTCACGTACCTGATCAGCAGCATCAATAAATAAAGATCTCATGCAGATATTAAGGCGAGGATTAGCAAAGTAAGGCCGCATTCCTACAGTTGAACATATGGAACTCAAAACAACCGTCAACTAACGTCAAAGTCTCAATCTTCAATACGAACCTCATGACGGTTCTACTGTACACAACTGAAACTTGGAGAACTACCACAACCATTGTCAAAAAGGTGCAAGTATTTATAAACAATTGTCTACACAAGATACTCAGTTTCCATTGGTCGGATACCATCAGCAACAACCTACTATGGGAAAGAACAAAGTAGCTTCCATCTGAAGAGTTAGTTAGGAAAAGACGTTGGAAGTGGATAGGAAACAAATTTAGGAAATTAATAAACTACATCACGAGGCAATGGCCACCTTGGAATTTTGAAGGGAAACGGAAAAGTGGAAGGCCATGGAACACACTGCATCTGGAATTGGAAGGCATCAAAAAGACGAGTAACAACTGGAAGAAACTATGTAGGATACCCGAGGACAGAGTTGGATGGACAATACTTGTGGATGGCCTACGCTCTTCCAAGAAGGGGAACAGACGTAAGTAGGTAAGTGTGTATATGCACACACTTCTGAATAAGTAAACACACAACTTACTCAATGATATTTAAGCGAAGGACACTAAAATAGATAGAGTATTAAACTTGATCTTGAACTGACATATGTTCCTATCCTATCGAAATATCATAGACAAAATAATTTCACAAGTGGAAATAAACAATTTTTATACAATATGACTGTAGTTCATACGGATAATTTCATTGATTTAAACATCAGATCGAAACAAATAACGACTTTACATACATTACAATTCATATATGAAATCAAATTTGTGGACGTAGAAAACACATGAAGAGATTGTTTCTGTTTTTATAAATGAGCGCGAAAAACTTACTGAGGAAGAAGTGGAGCTGGAAGTTGACCAGGGGCTGTAGTTACAATTGTTGGGGGATTCAAAGTATGCCGTATAGGTAAATTTGGTGCTGGTCTTGAAGGTATGGGACGATTAGAATTTGATGTGATATTATTAGGACTTAAAGGTCTTTGTGTTGTACTAGTACTGTGATGACCGGAATGAGATGCATTACTAGAAGGAAGTGGTCGACGAATATTATTTGATCCAGTAGATAACTCCTGAAATTTAGGAAAAAATAACAATGGGTTTTTCAGAAAATTGCACTAAATGATGGGTTTATTAATAAACTGTTAGTAACGTATGGGTATTTACAGCCATACCATACTTCATGCGATTATTCTTTAAAAAAGACATAATCCCCACAGTGTGTATATTCAATACCACAAGGTGATATTGAAGGTATAAAATGCGGTAACCATCGGCTAAATCTAGCCAACACACGAATTCCCACAAAATATTGACTACTAATACTATCTTACTTTATCCAGTGTACATAACGAAATATTCCGATAACGATAAATTAATTACTGGTGCTACATATCTAGATAGACCAGATAGAAATGTGTTATCATTAACTCACTTTATGATACTTAATTACTCGATGAAAGATTATTTAGAAATACTTAGTTATTTTCGTAACCTTTTTTCAAGCCTTGTATGTCAAATGTTTCAGGTATTTCAACTTTGAAAATTAGATTTTTTTCTATATTTGTGAATTCAACCAAATCTCATGAATGATTAATTTTTTCACTTACTATGTACGTAGCAAATCTAACATACACCAATCTTACAAGCCTTAAAACCATTTGAAGTAAATTACATGATTGATAACATAAGAGGAAAACACAACATTTGGTAAACTATAAAATATCTATAATTAAAATTTCAGTCTATCAAGTTGTTATATTTTAATATTTTATGTTCATGCTACAATAATTACCGAACCAGGGACGATTGTCACGTAAAGCGATGACACCAACTAGCACACAACAATTTGGCGATAACATAGAAGGAACATGAGTTCTAAGTGGGGCGAACAGGGCAAACTACAAGAGTAGGGCTCCGTATATATAGTAACTAAAGCATGACCTTCCGCCATACAGAAATTTAGCCGACTATAAGAAATGGAAATCATTCAGAAAAAGGCAAATATAAAGCGGAAAATTGAATTAGAAAAAAGGCACTTGGGGTTATTTTTTCTGGTAAAATTTCAGCCTAGTCAGCGAAATTTCGGTTATCTTCAAATTGTCCTAGCATAACTATTACTCAATTAAGGTAGGATGAAGCACTGAAACAATTTTGAGCAATAACAAAGCAATTTACTGGGTATGTTATTATACAGTTGAATCTAAAATCTGGAAAAAAATATTTCTACGCAACTAATTGGTTGGGTAAGTTATGAATAGGAGAGAAAAATAATTGGCTGAAAAATATTCAACCATCGAGTACAAGGATTGTGTGTGCTCATGTTGGAGTTAAAGTAGTATCAGAAATAATGTGCGAATATATTGAATTTCGACATCTGGATTCAAAAGACGATTATTAGAGTGATTAAAACGACTCCTAAGATGTATTTTTTATCAATGATTTTAAACTATATATTAATATGATAATATTTGTCAGACAAAGCTTACCGTCTCAATCCAGTCATCACTGACAGGTGGAGGTAATGGGACACTATGCGTATTAGCTATGACATCTGATATAACTGATAATGCCTCACGTATTGAATCATACATACGTATAATTTCTTCACGATGCTTTTTCTCAGCTGATGACTCTTCCATAAGATTGTTCTACAACGATGATGATATTTTTAAAGCAAATAGAAAATAAAGCAAAAAGAAAATGGACCGATTAAATATAATGCGTGAAATGTGTTCACATGAAAATCTTATACACTTTCCAAATAATAAATGTTTCAATAACTTAGAGATTTTTGTCAAATTCATTCGTGAGAAACAATTTACAATTAACAATAATTAGTTTGACCAATGTTGAGGATGAAAAAAACCACAAGAACGTTCGACTTCAAACTAGCACAACGCAGTTATAATTCATTAGTCATTACTGATCTCGACGCATCTGTTTGTAGGTAGACACATCACTTATGATGTGCACCAGTGTGATCAAAGAAAAACCAACTCTAACCTCTATTAACTAATAAAACGACGCTAAGAAGGTAAACTTTGTTTTAAAAAAAAACACAATAACATACTATCGTCAAATCCTATAAATATATAGAGAGATCAATCGTAATTACCCTAATTATTCGATAACTAATTGAAAATTCAAAACTTTCTGAATTTCATTTTCATTATATTACTGTTATAACTTGTTTCCTGTGCCCTATTAATATGTAACGTAATGATACCGCCAATAAGAGAACAGTGACTAATCGACCAGACCAATGACGGACCCGTACGAGCAATCTAGAGTCATTATCGGTCTTTCTTCCTGCCTAGCCCTGCTTGTTGAGTCCAGAACACAAATCTCGGTCTCCTCGATATGAATCATGTATTTCAAACATACTGGGTTTATATAAAAGCCAAATAGACCACATCACACCATAAAGTAGAAAGTAACATTTCTACAAGATCTAGCCAAAGGTGGCTGTGATTGTAGGATACTGTAACTAATGGCAGATCGAGTAATAATAGTCCATAGGTCAAAATTGTCATTGATTCTCATTGGGAAAACAGAACTCAAGATTCCATGAGCCTCAGTATCGTACAAATGAATAAGTCATATCATGTGGCGTTTACTAGTCTATATGTATGTACAAAGATAACTCAAGATATGTAGTTGAGGGTGATCGAGGATATCCAGAAATAGCTACACGCCTAGCTGGCATCATAATTTCAGATATGTTAAATGGGTCAATAATCTTTCTCATCTAATCGTATATACATGAAATAGTGAAAAAAAACTTAAAACAACTCTTACCTCTTTTACAAGCGAACTGTCAATGTAACATTTTCAGGTCCAACAGAAATCTTAATCACTAGGAATTTTAAGCACCCTTTTGTTTTCCAACACAATATGTTGCGACTTTAAACCTGCCTTGGCAGTTCTTAATCAAGTTCTGATGGCAGATTTGGTGTAAAAGGTATATACTTTCTGGTATTATGATGTTCTTATTGTTATTCTGTACACTTTCAATAATTAATTGTGACTTAGTTGACCTTTTCATTCGTAATGATCTTTTGTTAGTTTTCGTACTAAACCTTTTGACTTACTAAATATATGACCAGACAGTTTGAAATGCACTACACAAAAGTATTACATTGCTTATTACAAATATTAAATTTACAATGTGGAATAATTGTTTCAAAATCTCAGACCACGACAAACTTCCCAATTATAACAATCGATGTTCAATTGTCGGTAATCAGGGAAACATTGGTCTACCTAATGATACTTTGATTACTCAGAATATGACTTGTTATCGAAATTTCAAAAAAGGAAACCGTTTCTTTTGATAAGCAAAAACAAAACCCAAGTATCACTATGGAATTTTGGAGATTGTTGAATTTGAATCGAGATCATATAACGACTCAGTGAATAGAAAAAAACAATTATCTATTTATACAATATACTGCCATAAAAGATGTTATTCCCTAACTTTGTGTCAGTCACACTTTGTAAATTGTCGTATAATAAAGAGACGATTAACAGCAATGTAAGTCAGACTTGAAAAGTAAAAATAAATCAAAGACAACTGTGGATAGTCTCTTCATTATTTGTTTCTTCAGTTTCGATCAACAATTGTTTTCTACATTTAAACATTTCATTATAGAAATTGTCGTTTAAAGTATTGAGATAGTAATTGTTCATAGCATTTTGTTTTTCAGATTGACAACTGATATTTGGTAGTGTAAGTAAAATATGATTGGTCATTGAGCGGCACTTAACCTACTGACTATTAAGTATGTGAATTTCTTTCCTCCCATTGATTTCTACACCGGATTCACTGAGTTTGACTGCTTGTAACTGTGTTGAATAGACTACAATCCAGTGTCAATCTGGTTCTCTATTCTGGGTCGTGAATCCTGGATCTGATATAACGTGACTAGCCTCAGCATCGTAGTATACCCGAGAGAGATAAATATCTTAAACCATCCGTTATATCACAAATGAATCAAACAAAATTCCGTCGAATTGATGGTAAACAGAAGCACATAGAGTCCAAATAGTACTAGAATAAAAACTACCACTAACTAGTTAAAACAAAATTGATTAAAAAGAGACAAAAAAAGTAAATAGACGAACTTACAGGGTCTTGTGAATACAATTTGGGCAAGAGATCGCCTTTTAGAAAAATCTTGATCTATATTTGAGAATAATTTAGAAAGTAAAAATATTGACTACGTCATCAACATTGAAGTGAATTGGTAAAAAAACTATATTTAGTAATATATTATTTATAGTAGTATAGACAATTATGCGTGAAAAAATTCAGGTCCTAGTGCATTGATCATAAGTTCTGTATAATTGAATAAACTTTGCATTCGAAATGAGTGGTTAGTAGAAGATTCAACTGGTTGAGAAATGACACTCTGTCAGTGAAAGACAGAAAATACTAAGTAGAGGTCCGTGCATCATACATCTGTTCCGCATTAACTCGAAAGAGAAAACATGAGTGAAATGATATATATATATATATCACTTTCAGGAAGGCAGAAAAGGACTGTTTTAAATTACTAAGTTAATTAGAAGGTGAAACAACAAAAAAGCCAGCTGAAAATCAGTATCATAGTTTTAATCAAACTATTTATTAACTGCACGATAGAGTTTACAGTCGTTTACCATTTAAGTTGAATGAAACAGAAGGACTTTTTGAGTGAATGAATGATTTGTAGAGATGAATAAAATACCGATCAGCTAGTGTGATAAAATGATACGATATGGCCGAGTGATAAGTCTTCATCAAACTAATGTATTGATGTAAGTCTCTCAATGGATGAATTTCAAAGAAAAGATCATTAGTTAAAAGAATAGGATTTCTATCCAAAAACATAACATAAGATATATACATATATAGTCCGTATGGGGTTGTAGAGTTCTGTTGAGTAGCCATGGCTAGTGCAGTTGAACCGTGTCCCGTGTGAGACAGTTACCCACCGAAGACAATAAAAGATGGTGACATAATGTCACAGACTGATTAAAGATAGGCATTAACACCGTTGGATGCCGAATCAGTTGTCTAGAAGTTAAAAGTTCACACGCAGGATAGAAGATACTGAGTTCAATTTTCGTGTGTGGGGTCATGAATGCGCACAGCTTAGGAGTGCCATACTTGAACGTAACGGCTGTCCAGTGCTTCCAGGTTTTCAATAATGGTCTGAGATCGGTTCATGATTTCAATGAAATATATATAATGCTAAGCTAAAATTAATGTGATTAGTTATCATAAACCATTGTAGGATATCAGAATTGTAGATCATTCGCTTACCAACAATGATCTAACAGTTAGAGTTGATTCTGATACACCGTATCATTTACAGTACGTTATTCGTCAAGGAAAAATGGTAATAAAAGGATTTTTATTGAAGTATTCATGACGTATTAAATAAGTATCACAGTTGGGAAGCTGTTCAAGTGAATGCTATTTATCATACAGAACCAAATGTAGCTAATGTAATGTTAGATAAAAGTTTCGGATAATCAGTGTGGCCATAACTTTATTGTTTATAAGTATTACAATCAATCCAACCTAGTAGCCGAATTGAGGTTCGTGTACTCTAATTTGCATGTGGGGGATAAAGGCATTAATTGGGTGTCAAAGGTAGAATGGGATCTGAGGCAGTAATTCAGTAGTTGAAGGTCTAGCAAGCAAAGGCGCTCACAGAACTATATGGTGATGTAAATTTTCTAATCCATCAGTTAATCAGCGAAATGAATACGCCTATTGAATTCGTACTTAGACAAGCGAAAATAAGGAGTCGTAAAGGAGAAATGAGAAAAACAGCAACCATTCAAATGTAGATGAAAAAAATAGCGAGATTTTTATTCTACAATCAAGGTAAAGTTTTGGAGATTAAAATTATATATAAAATTACCTCATTAATTAATTGATGCATAATTATTTTCGGAACCATATCACGTTGTGTTTTAGTAACGATTTTCATGTAGGAATCAACTAAATTACGTATAATTTCTACTTGTCTTTCAAGTTTAGGATCAGTCGGTATTTTATTCGTATCACCATCATCAGTCTGTGGCACAAAAAGAATATTTAAAAAATATACACATACTTAGATGATAAGATTCACAACAGTATTATTATTATTAGGCAGTAGGAACGTTGATCCACTGAGTTTATTGAACAATTATACACCTTTTTAGTCAATTGCGAAACCATCTACTATGAAAATAACAAAGAAATAACTTTACCATTTAATTCATTCTAACTATACACTCTATATGAATTAGTTTAGTAGTGAATTTTTGAGAACATGAAATAATTAGTCACAATGTATTTGTGAAACATAAGAACTACCATCAGATGTAGTTTACATAGACAGTTATATCTCCTTCGATACTGCCTTAAAAATGTATCCCCCTCTGTTATTGAGCTTGTACAGACATTAGATGTTTCATTAATGTTGTAATTAGTAAACTCTCCTTTCAGTTTTATGTTATCCCTCGTTATTCGCATTTCTTATCCTCATTACGTCATTAACTTCTTCATCGTAAGAATGTTTACAGGATAGTTAATTAGTTTCAATAATACAAATCAAAAGCAGTTGATCGTAAAACAATCAAGCATATACATGACGACAGATCTATCGTAGTATTATTTGTTCCTATTCCATGCTCTCGGTTTTCTTTGTCTTCTCTCAAGTTGTATTTAACGATATTTGATTAGGTGGATAATCTGAACAACTACAAACCCTTCCCATTATTAGGAAGTATCACCATTCAAAGTTGAGGTTAGACGATTTCACATATTTTATGTAGTTTGTGTGGAAAATTAGGGCAGTAGTACCAACCACTATTACCTAATGAGTACTGTTTAAATACCACTATCTAAAACTTCAGTTGATCCATTTGTTGTTCTATTTCATCGTGATAGAGAAGCTCTACAAACCGGTACGTCTATGTATATATTTATTATGGCATTGTCTAGAACGTCTTAACAGTGCATATATTAAACATTACTAGAAATAAAACCAGAATTTTTGTAGTCAGTATATTTTAGGATGAAACCTTGAAAAAAATAACTGATAACCACGAAATAACTCGATAGTAACGTTTTTCAGCATGAGACCAAGTAGTATTGGATTCTTAACCAATCATCCATGATGAAGCAGGTAATTCACAGTTTTGGAAAGTTGCATAAGTAAACTAATGATGGTGTAAAGAATAATTACAGTTCCATTCCCATAATTTTCATCTTCTTGTTCAAAGATTAAATATCACTTGGATTATAATTGAAAAACATAAATTACTTCGGAGCTGCCTAGATATCATCCAATAAGTTATGTATAGGATACATTACCAAGTCTATACAACATAGAACCCAAGATTCTGCACCTATTTCCTGTGATCACAATAGCTATAGGATGCATTGTCTTAAACAGCATTCACTTTATCGAATTTAATGAAGTCAGTATTCTATACTTTGCTATCATCTCAATAGTCATTTGATAGAAATTAGAATACAGTTTTTATAATTATAATAACAAAGCACATATCACGTACACACACATCTAGGAACATAAAAAGTAATCACGAGGCCTATGTTATGCTTAGTTGATGTACATTCAACCATGCATATACACATAAATCATATGACTTGAGATTAAGGGGTATGAGAATAAAGTTTTTTCTAACAAAAATTTTAAAATTGAAGAGTACAATATGATGCCATGGTACTACTTGATCATATAAAATGACGCTTTAACTAAATCAATGAACGAAGTTAATTTACTAAAAATAGCTAAATAATAAATAAGTTTACAAAAGAAAAGAAAACAGAATAAGATTAATTGGTGTTAGGTGATTTATTATTAATAGTATGAAAGACGAGATTAGTTCAATTCCTCCTTGTTCTTCTGTCATTCATTACCGATCAATAGTCGACTAGAATCAACAGTGTATTGTATGGTAACGTAAAAAATCTATTGCATAATTAATCAGTAAGGATAACAAGAGTTTCGTAAAGAAATTGTTCATTTGCAATGATGTGATCTACTACAGTTGTACAACCGAATTCATAGTTACTTTTTAGAACGATAGTCTGTAATAAAACAGATAAGTGTTCAGTTATTGATACGGTTGCCAAAAACTAAATGGAAATACTTTCAAGTATTCAATGAAAGTTACATGATAATTGAGAATAACATTTATAAGTGAGATGTGAAAGATAATTGTTCACTTGACCAATATAAAGGAGAAAAGTGCACATATCAAAACAACTTACAAAATTATCGAAGGAATGAACTGATAGAAAAACAATCAATTAAATATATCACTTATGAAAACAGAGACTAGAGGATGAACTGAAGAATCGCTAGTCTCAACTATAAATAGTTTCCTTTTGAGTAAGTTTGAATGTAGGTAACATCAAGTCATCCATTCCAACAACTTAAGTTCTTTGTGTGAATATCAACGACGGAACATTGTATACATGTCTGTTGAACAACATATACACAAACGTTTCCAAAACAATGGCTAAAGGATTAAAATAAACGGCAGAACACGAGACGAGACATAAAAACATATAATCCTTGATTACTTACCTGTTCGTCTGGTTTTCCAGATGGATCATGAAACACTCCAGCCCGAACTAAAGCAGCTTTCCAAGCTTCAACCGCTTCTTCTGTATCTGCAGATAAATCTAAAGTTTTGTGATCTTTGTACAAATTAACTTTAGGATCTGGATGATGAAGGACAAACGTTGGTCGTTTTGAAAAGAATCCTGTATCACCGCTACGTTGTTTTAATCCATCTAAAGGAAGAACAAATCGTCTCTCACGTTCCTAGTAGAAAAAAAAAGCGAATTCCATAATATTTTCATACGGGATTTTGAACAATAATTCTCTGGTAAACTTTATACTACTTTATTATTTGATGGAAAGTATACAGATTAGATATAAGAAACAGTATTTTACATTTTCAAATCGGTCATTCATATATCATCGTTAAAAGCTGAACATTAATTTAACCGAATGAATGAAAATATGTGCGTTCAAAGAACTAGTTTCAAAATATTGCATCAAAATTCAGATTATTAATAATAATATTATCCTCTCTTAGCTATTTTATACACCATAAGCCCATTTAGTGGAAACACAGCTTTATAAACGTTTCTTAAAGAGCCAAGTAAGAAAACAGTGTGTTTAGGCATATTATTCTCCTACCTAACATCTCCCTTATAAAGAAAGGTTCATTTTTCCCTTTATTGACTCTCATCGGGGACTGATAGAAAAATGAATATTAGGCACTGAGAACGACCAGATAGACCGAGTTATCTTTTATTCAGACTCCTCAACACTGACGGCAGATAAGAAAACAAGACCAAAGCCATATGACTACGTGATAGTTTCTTTATAGTTCAATAAATTAAAGTCATAAAAAAATGTTCACAGATGAATAATTGTCATGCTGCACCACGAATTGATTGAAGTTAGATTTATATTTAAAGACGCCGAAATAGTGGTCCGAATGGTTAAGTATTCAATGCGAAACCTGAAAGTTCTATAATTGATCCTTCGTCTGGTTATCATCATTTTTTCTTATCAAAATACTGAAAAATATTCTATTTAATCCAATCAAGTACAAGGTTAACACATTTTACAAGTGCCTAGATATGTGACAATGAATTAATATCTACAGTAAATTTTTTATTGAAAATTAATTTAACAAAAGAAAACACAATACACACTAAGATGGTAGACAAATAAGGTGCATTATTTCTTTTTACTAACTAGGCATCAATTAACCATGAACACACACATACTGAATAGATAGCATCCTACAAGAATATCAAGATGAGTGAGTAAATTTTTGTTGAGATAACAAACAACAACGTTTGACCTTGTTCATCATATGTTTTAATCTCATTTAAACAATCGATTGATGAGAAATTCAGTAAGAAAAAAGTGTGTTAGATCCAGGATGAGATCATAAACTAAATATTGTGCTTAATAAAATAAAAGAATGAAATTAACAATAGGTGTAGATGAAAAGAGAACATAATACTGGTAATAATAGTAATAACAATAATAATAATAATAGATTAGTGTGTTAACAAGAAAGGAATTTTGATGCTGTATATACTTTCACAAACAAGATACATATTTTTGTTAATGTACTTATGAAAAAAACAACTGTCAATAAATTAAAAAACGGAGATTTAATTGTCTCTCTATTTTGTTTTCTTTCAAGGAATTCAAGCATTTAAAAGTATAATTTAATAAGGTAAATGAAAGTCAGAAGAGTTTGCAATCATAAAAATGATTAAGACATTATGATATTATATTGATTGTCAACATTGGATCAACAGTACAGTTCGTAAATAACAACCTGTAGATTTTTAGTCAATTCACTTAGTCGATCATATACGGAGTAAAAGAATCTTATATATATATATATATATATATATATATATATATATATATATATATATATATATATATATATTATTCGCATCAATTTATGTTGACACAATAAGATGAAATAATCGAAGATAAATCCTAAAGTTACATAAATATACGCAATATCATTCGAGAATACACTTTAGTGTTGGATAATTGAAAGTAGTCAATGGGATTTGATAAAATTAGATTTAATGTTTTCTATATGAATTAATAATTTAACGAAAATATACGTTTTTAACAATCGGTCATTTTATATTTTGCTATTCAATTATTTGGAGGGGGCTTTATATCAGTAATTTGGCCAACAAGATTACAAGTCATTAGAATATTTCTCACATCGATTGAAAAACTCGAATGAAAATATATCACTTTTAATGTCATTTCCCAACCATTTATTTGGAGCGCTGGTTTAATGATGATAGTACTCATTTTACAACTGGCAGATTGTAAATATAAACATCGCCTCATTTGTTGCAGCTTCATTAAATAATTACTAAGACTAGCTGTCATAGAAAACAATTAAATCGAGCACGTAGAACTAATTACCTTGAAAAACTTCATTCTCAATACATCAAATGACTGGTTAGAATTTTACATAATCTTAGTGCATTATGCTTCAAAAAAAATAATAAATGAGACAAGAATTCACTAAACTCTTCCAATCAATGAAAACATATATATATGTTAAAATTGATAGCATATTGGTAAAAATTTCGTGAATTTTATTTAAAAGTTTCACATTATATTGCTGAACCCATAGATAATATTGATTTGATAATCTCAGCTGTTACTATTAGAAAAGCAATTAATGTGACGTAGAACATTTGCTCTGTAAAATTATTGAAACAGCAACATTTCCTTTTCATAGAATGGATGAATAATAACTAGCAGTGTAATCTGGTATGTGCATTTCATCCTATTTTAGACTTATCAATTGGATGCAACAGCAATTGAGTAGTGATATTCAAACAGAGATTGAAAGACAGTGTTTAGCTTTCATTTCAATCGTTGACACATAATCTAATGAGTTCAGATGGGTAAGGGTTTAAATTAGTCTGTTGTTGATATTCAGAAGTGAATTTCAACTGGTTTTCTCGGCACATGTGTATCCTGTATAGATTGTCATGATATAGCCATTTTATTGCATTTTTCCCACAATAATGTTTCCTTTCAAAAGATTTTGGTTAGCTATAAAGTCGTGATAATTTACATTCATGAGATATACCTTAACTGATAATTAATACTTTAGCTATAAGCCATAATTTACCTACATAATCACAACTTTATGGAATTTTATAGGTTTTGTGAAATATATGCATGATAAAGAGAAAGTTCATGATCGATTTTTTTTAGGAATCCATTTTAAGTTAGACAATATTTCACAAAACGGTTGAACTGCAGCAAGTAACAACATCCATAGTCATTCATGTCTACGTCTTCATAATAATAAAATCACTATTTAAAAATAATAACTGTCAATAACTGTGAAAATAATTTACTGTCTGAGAAATATATAATCAACAATTCCAAAAATGTAGACATATTGACTGACATAAAAACAAGTCACAGAGAGAGAAAGATAAAAATTGATTATCGGAATGACGATACGAATTGAAGCAGTCTTCGATGTATTCACACATTATTTGTTACCTAATGTCAAGAAATAGGATAGTTGAGTTTAGACATTTTATATTATAAAACTCTTAATTCATGGATAATCTAATTTTCTGAGTATTATTATAAAAAATTCCGTTTTTGTTTTTAAACTGAACTATTTCAAACCTATTTGATAAATATGTGCTTAATATAAGATGAAACCTTCACGAATGCACCAAAATCAGATTATTAGTTTCAATCACAACTTATCAGTCAATAGTATATTAAAAGTGTTGACGACATTCTGTCCTAGTATACTTATTTCATGACTACGAGTTTGAAAGTCCTTCTAATTGACTCGTCTACTAGTTAGTTTACTGACAATCAACAATCCTCATACGAAAATTCTATATATGCGGGTCCTTGACTAATTGATTATTTTTTTTGTCAAGTTAACTTCATCCTGAGTAATTTCTATTACTAGATCGTCACATGTAGCAATAAGATTGAAAGTAAATGAATGGCATTTTTAAGCAAAGTATCATATTGGTTTGCAGTGAAATCAAGATGTACGTTACGTTCTATTTGAGACTCATCAGCTGAGTGTACCGGCATTGTAATACTAATGTTCTCATCAAAACTTGAACACAGTACCTTTTGATTCAAAAGCCCAATGCATTGACCATGGAGCTACTGAGTCTAGATGGCTCCTGGCTTGTGGAACCAAGATTATTTTCATTTCATCTGTAAGGGTTTGTATCATCCGGTTCTTGATGTAAAGTGTTGGGAACGCTTCGAAAAGCACGATTAAGCTTCCTGAGGTACTAAAGGAGTCGAAGAGATTCCATCCAACCAGAACCTGATCGAGCCTTCTAGAACGTCAACGTGGTATGCTATGAATCGACAATACCATAACCTGCCTTGAGGATTGGCTGAATTATAATGATATTACAGTCAATACTAGTAACTATGAATACCCATGTTTTTCTGCACATTTTTTATTCTTATCCAATAACCAATTCCCTTGCTTTTTCCATCTTCTGATTTACGATTGAGGGGTTCTACGCGTTCGATCGTCGTTAGTTGTATATCGTATTCTGCCGTAATCAAGTAGAGGACGTAGGGGACCGGAATTAATTAGTAATAGTTTATTTTTTATTTGTGAAGAAATACATAATTTAGAGACGCTTCTCATTCGAAAAAAGTACCAGTTTGAAAGCCACAGAACACGAAAGGACAACTGTCTCAGATCATAGAATACAGGATACTTTAGTAAACCGCATATATGGCTCAATGTGGGTATGAAAACGGGACGTTTGGGTGGAGTACTCGTTCCGAAATTTGCAGTTGGTGCTAGTTTGTGATGAAAATTACTTTCGTAACTACACAGACTGAAATCTTCAAACCATTTAACATAATCAATCATTAATTACCAAAAAACTTGTGAAATAAAAACCATCAAGGCAGAATAGAATGAAAACAATTAGTAACTTTTTTCAAATAGTTATTAGAAAGACTATAGCATGAAATGAAATAGTTTACGACGAAAAATACTAATCAACATATGCTATACTTATCAAAACAATTCTTTCCATTTTAAGTCGGGATAGAAAAACTGAACCTCTCAATTTTCTAGTTTATCTTCAAATAAAAATAGTAACAGTTGTAATAGTAACAGGATGTGTCAACCAGTCAAAAAATTAATACATGCTGAATAGATGTACATATTATGCAAATTTATGTACATATTTCTCAGCATAAATCACTGGCGAAAAAACAAAACAAATCTAAACACAATAATTCTGAAGTAAAAAAAAGACAGAAAAGTTCAAACAGAAAAATAAAACAACCAACATAAATAGAAATAAGTAAAAACAGAAGTATTCACCAATCATTTTCAAATTGATATATGGTGGTTCAAGTCTTTACCTTGCTGACATTACGAACTGTGACTGATCAGTCACTTTTGATATTTGTACACCTTTCTAAGCGGATCGGCTCGACATTGTCATTTAGTCACAAGTATTTAAGTTGAACAGTAAGTATATGGAGTTAGACGCTTAGTGGATAATGCGTTAGGAGTTCGAAGTGAATGGTATTAGGTTTTAGTCCCTGTGTGAATGCTAAGGATGCGATACTGACGAGTCCCTACTAGGACAGGAGCTACATCCTAGGTTTCACTGCTACTCGCTACTCATCTTTACTTAACTATCGGTAAATGTTAAATAAGTGAACGAGAGTAAAGAATGAACTAAAAATAGGGTGGGCAGATAAACGAAAAGGTAGAAAAGCATCACTTACTTCATCATCTTTGTACCAAGTCAATGTATCTGTAGTTAATACGAACCAACAATAACGACTACCACCACGCAATAGACTTGGATTGATCAAATTAAGCCACCCTTTACAGATTACCTAAAACAAAATAAAAAAATAACAAAAAGGATGGATAAGTGGTACATAGGCATGATTCTATGAAATTAAATACAGTTGTACAGGATATAATATCGAAATAGCGTCAAGAATACAATAACTTGTTCGAAATAAAATGAAATACCGGCTAAATAATAGGGAAACGGACTGCTGCGAAATTGTAGAAGTAGAACAGTAAAACGTCATATAATCAAGAGGTATGTACACAACGACGGTATTTAATAAAATATACTGTCAAGTTACAAAAAGAAATACAGCCAATTTTTTTTGCAGCCAAAAGGATTCGTTTTTCACAAAGAATGTAGTAAAAAACTACATTTATTTTGAGTGATATTGTCTCAGGCCACTGAGTTGTTCCATCTTAAACAACTCAACCAGGGAGTTGTGATACGTGGACAGATTCCAATCTCATAGCTCTATCCTTCATAGTACGTTGTACACCATAAACTGGCCAACTTATTAAATTTTCCACGGAATTATGGTATTGCGAAATGATGTGTGGTGCGGAAACAGAGGGAATAAAATTCCTAGAACTTGGTCAAACAAACGAAATTGGTATTTCAAGACGATTAACTGGATAATGGCTACTAAGCTAGAACACACTGCAGAACCTCGTCACTACTAATAGTCAGTTCACTAGGAAGGAAAATGAATAAACTTATGATTTCTAAGTCTTGACAACATACCATTTCAAGTTTTTTTTAATACTTAGCACTATTCTGTCTTACTATAAAACATTATTTTAGCAAATAAAATAAACTACAAATACGATTGTACAGCTTAAGTTGAGAGGAAAATATTCTTCGTTGAATTGCCTTTTTTCTTCAGTGGCATGGTACTGTTGCTCAATGCCAGTAATATTCCAGAGATAATGGTTGTGTTTGGACATAGTAAGCTCGGGAAGTCCAGGTTTCATAAGCACAACGGAAAAAATGCTCCCATCGATACGTTGTAATTTCGACCTTTTAGAGATAAACTAAAATAATCAAAACGCAGAATGGAGTCCATAACACTAGGACTAACACGGCTACTTTTGATTATTTTCAGGGGTAAGTGGCGGCAACAGAATACTGTTAATCAGACGAAAGTACTTCGCGTTTCTAAGGTCAACAGCAAATACCATACTTAGAAACTAACTGCAAATTGATTAAGTGATATTCAAGCAGTCTACATTATCACCACACAACAAGACAATGTCATCCACGTATTCGATAGAGAAAAATCATTCCCCAGGAAAATGATAGCATCGATCAACCAATATATTATAAAACTCAAAGACACATCCTTATTCAACTAATAACATCAAAACGCAGTGACATTTAAAAAATCAAGGGTGATCTTACAGACAGAAAACACAAGGGTTGTCGGATTTAAAACCGTTTAGGAGTGTTTTAGCATATAGTGGAGGGTAAAAAAACTGGTCAATACACCCACGACATAAACAATTTTCACACTCATTGTGACTCAATCTTTCACCAGTTTTGTACAATCTGTGACATATGGCGGAAACATAATTTGTTCACAATGTCACACTTTGATGAAGAAGTTTAATATACACTAAACTTGTTGCAACCACATATGATATTGTATGCAAGAAATACGACTTAGTTACTGAAAATGAAATATGTAGAGGAGAATCCGAACAAGATATTTAATAAGTCAAGTGTATAAACAAGTGATTTAAAATTCAACCATATTCGTAATTGGTATGAACACGTTTCGATAAGCAACCGATCAACGTGATATTTTTCAGAGTTGAAAAAACTATATTTTTAAACATCCACCTACAGTTGGTTGCTAATAATTGAAGTTATTATCTTTTATTGGTAGAATCAAATAGCAAAATTTTAATACTCTTTTAGTTCATAAATAATTTTAAGCATGAATAAAGAATCAGAACATTAGTGAGTAATGCCATAGTAGTTGAAGCAATGGATAGTTGGGTTTCCATTGAAAGAGCAAAGCCCAAATTGATCGATATACTGATGCAACTTGAGTACAACAAAAGGTATATGTGCTTTAATATTTACTTTTTTTAAACAAAGCATTTTGCAACTAACTGCGAATTTGTCTATTCAGTATTTCCCCTATAAACAAGTGTGTAACTAATCAGCTATATATAACGCTTATATTATTTAAATTTGGTAACTAAAGTTCAATTGCTTCACTTGTTCATAACATTTCTAGTGTAAATGTTCGAGAAAATTATCAGAAACAAACCTCTGTACTGTTAGTGAAATAAGTCTAACTATCATTGCTTAATAATTAATGGAAACTATTCACATTAAAGTGTCAGTCGACTGGGTGAATCGCTTTTACACTTTCTTTGGACAATGTGATATATATATTTCTTGAAGGATTGGATATAAAATGGACCTGACGTATTCTACAGAATAATAATGAAAAGTAATCAGGGTCCGATAGCAGAATATGAGATGGTAGTATTATTTGATATGAAAACAAAGATAACATATATCATATAGAAACTACAGATTACTGTTAGTGCTATAAATTCATTAATACCACTTACTTGATTGCCAAGTTTACTTTTGGAACTATCATTTGCTCGTTGCTCAGCACTATGAAGAGTGGGAAGAAAGAAAAAGAAATAGACAGAAAATGATTAATTTAAAATAACTATCAAAATGAGGTTGAATGAATTGTCAAATTCTATTGACATCACGAACCCATATAAGTTAGACAGTTATTGAAAGCCTGGAAGCACCGGACGACCGTATAGCCCTAACACGGAACTCTTCAGTAGTGTGCATTCACAACCTCGCGACGGGTAATCTAATCTAGAGCCAGTTTCACGTATAAACTCAGTTCCTCTCTAGTGATGTAGAAGTCTAATTTTAATCAATTCATTTTATGACGCAACCATCTTAAATAGTTTATCGAGGAGTTGAAAGATATGCAAGTGAAATGTCAGCGATTAGCCCACACAAAGATTTTTAACTACTTCGTACACATCGCACATTGAGTAGTTATTCAAATTAATGCATAGGCTAATCAGTAATCATACACAGATCTGCGTACTACGGATTGAGCCACATCTTTCTGTGGGAAAGCTGATAACAGTACTTGGATTCTTAAATTGAAGCAGGGTTTAAACCTTCAAAAGTTTTACAAGATAAACCTGGCTACAAACACAACAAGTAAAAGTATGGGTGAAATACATTTGTAAATTGATTCCCCACAGAGAATGTGTGAAAAAACGTAATACAAACGATTTGTGTAAAATAAATTCGAGAAGTCAATCATAAAAGATTTAAGATTAACATTTTACAATTTTTGTGCTTTTTTGTAACGCATGCAAGTTTTAGGTAGGAATCTTGAATGTTATACGTGATCAACGGATATTGAGTTACGATATCAAAAACTGTGTATATGTAGAATCTAAATATTTAAGGATTAGGACGAAATATACCTCACTAACACTTCATTGGAATTAGCCGGTAGTATTCATCACAGATTCACTTCAGTTTGCTTACTACTCCAAAGCAGGGAGCACTGGATAGCTGTTTCGTCATGATATGGAACTTCGCAGTAGTGTGCACCCATGATACCTTGAGGACCAAACTCAAACCCCTCAGGTCTAAGAGTAAGTTATTAGCCATTAGGACTAGTACGTTATTGTTTGACAGTAAACATTTGCATCTTCACACGAATCGTGTTATAGCGCGACGGTCATTCAATGGGACTGGTGATGACTTATTTACTGTAAATATCCCTGAACTATACAGACAAGGGATTTTCACTGAGACATCAAGAAAGTTAATGGTAACGACACGATTATAGCCCTAATGAAGAGACTTTCTGAGGTCACGTGTACACACTACTAAGGAGTACACGACTACGACGAAATAGTTGTCTAGTACTCCTTGATTTTCAATGGTACCTCAATAGACGTCTATTTATGACGAATACCACTTACAAATTAAACCAACCTCCACAAAACCCCTTCATTGGTACGTTTTTTGGAAGCAAAGAGCAAATCAAATGCTAGTATCATGCTTATATACTCCGGAGTTAGGTTATTAAAGCATCCAACTTTTAAGCAGTGAGTTGAAGGTTCAAACTCATCACCAACGACTTAGGTTTGCATAACCAGATAACTCTGGGAAATGAAAAGTGCAGTTTAAACCACAGTCATTTATCCAGTCACTTGACAAGCAACATATTTATTTATAGTTAGAGTAACTGCAATTCATTTAAACATGCTTGAATGTAGACAGGGTAAGTAGCAAAATCATACTACACTAAATTGCTCATTTGTAGTGGATATATTCTAAAAAATAACCTGATAAATCGTTATTTCAGAATTAAAAAAATAATAATAACTGCACACAAGTGTGGTTTTAAATGTACAACTGATATTATACAATGAAGTTTGATTCAAATAAAGTAATTATATTCTAATATGCAATGTATATGAAGATGAAAACATACTAAGAATAGACAAAAATTTACATTCTTTAGACAACAGGTCATTTGTTAGAAATTCGATTAATATATGCGAACTTCGTAAATACGTTATTTATTTACAACGTAAATGATCATATAACAGAACTACAATTTATTTGGTACATTGTTAACACAATCGATGGTGTTATTTTTGTCGGTTATCTTGACTCTTTTCATTCTTTGAAAAATCTTATTTGCATATCCACGTGTGAATCATCTGCGTAAACAAAATTACTTATTAATAGACTAATTTCATATAGTGTTACTTGACAGATTTAGTTTCAGGAGTAAAGAATTAAGTGAAAAGTTTGTATAACATTAAGATTTAAGACAACAGACATGAGATGATTCTATCGATTTAGATTCAATTGTTGGTTGTTACAGTTCGTTTTATATCTAGTACAAATATTGTGCGGATCTATCGTGCGAATGTAGTGTATCAAATTAAACACACAACTAACCACGCCACAGCTTTTCATAATACAAATAAAGGTTAATTATGTAAGGTGACTGTTTAATTAATTCTTAACCACAAGTTGATCCAGGCCAAGTTTGAAACTTTATAATAGGAACTTCTATAGATTACACTACAGTTAACAGTTTCTAACTGTTAAACAGGATTAATACTAGCGGTTCATTTTAAATTTACCAAAATTATACAGAGTTATTATGATACAATTCTTAACGGATAGATGAAGAAAGAATGTACGTGACGGGACAAAATCTGCAGTAAACAGATATGATATGGGGATTACATAAATGTTAACAATTAATGAGATTATTTTTATGACAAATATGATGAATAATAATATTGGGAGGTTGGATCTACGTTCGGTTTTCTAAACTACTGTTCATTAAGCGGACAGATAAACAGAGGAAAATGAAATAGGAATCACACAAATGCACCGATATTAGATATATGGTCGATGAATTCAGACACGTCTGACTTAACCATGTCCTGAGCTCTGGATTATATTGGAAGCCATGGTTTCGGAGACTATACTGGTCAAGATGATAATCGTATGACAATTGTGAGATAGTCCCTATCCTTTAGTATGTCCAGCAATCAACTTTCGATCAATCTCACAAATTATAAACACAGAAAAGACATCTGGCATCAAACCGTTCGATGCCTGTAATTCTATTTCTTATTCAGTTATTGAGAACTGACTCAATCTTTAAAAAAGATTGGAGTCTGGTGTCCAGTCATCATTTAGTCTGCTCATCAAAGTGAATCGCCCAATTTTCAAATGAAACACTGCTTGCCTGTAGACCTAGTCTCCTTAGAGACCCTAAGCAATAACTATTTCTCATCACTGTTGTTGTTTTATACCCTCGGTTAATTTTCACCACAACTCATAAGTTATTTAAGTAGTATCCACTAAGGTTACTTTGAAACCTTATCATGTTCTGAATCGGACCGAGATCTATTTCCCACGATCTCCCAATTCATGAGGCAATCAGATTCGCTGATTTTTCATAGCTTTCTGGTAAAGACTGACCGACGAACGCTACTGATGCTTATACAAAAGATTTAAAACTAAAAGGTGGAGTTTAACTATATGCTGACGGATGAAAATATGGTCTATTCGATTCCCCTATTGAGTTAATGTCAGAGGTTCCTAAGTCAAACAGTACCCCCCCCTCTATTTACGAATTTAGTTTATGCTAAAAGCAGATAGTTAGAAACAGTTGTATGAGATGACCGCAAGCTCGAACATATATTTTGGATAAAGTATTAAGGAGACAAAGAATAACATTTCGTAAGACCGAGCTGATAGGATTCATTGCACACATGGGAGAAGATACAGCCAGATAGACATGATAAAAGGACATCTACATGTTAGTTGTGAATAGGATTAAGTCAAATATAGCGTGAGGCAGGTGAACGATCGAAACATCTCGGCTACATATACTGTGGTAGGATATTTATACTGCACAAAACTGGAAAATTACCATATTAATATAGATAGTTTATCAACAGAGAGGGTTAGACACAAAGCATAGGAAATCACTGTTCGGGGTCAATTACAGTCAGGTCTTGTGAACATTTGTTGTAGTGTTGGCTCGTTACATTCTGAATTATTTCACAAAGGTAAAAAAATCCGTTGAACATAAAATTTCCCAATTTTAGTGCCAAGATTCCTAATCTCTTTGTTTAAAACTATTCACGTCTAAAATGACAAACATTTGGAAGACATTTTAATGGATGTGTGGACAATCATGATTCAACGGTAAATAATACAAAAACCTCAATACTATAAACATAGTACAACAGGAGATCTCTTACTACTAGCGAATTCCTCATCAAAAGAAACTTTGTGACTATTTCAAAGAGTAAAATATGAGAATTCGACCTTAACCACTGTAATCTAGAACAAACATTTTATCTCAAATCCTTGCTTATTAACTAAATGCTTAGATTTTCATTTCCCTAAACGTGAGTTTGTAGATTGTGATTAGAGGGTAGATTAGTAAATTGTTCTAAATACCATGATGTTATTGATCAAATAACCGTATATTGTTTAATACCTTCTAGTTGTTGAATACATTTTTATTATGACTTCTAAATAAATAAAGAATTATCTCACAAATTATTTACTTTTGGAAACCGATAAAATCTTCATGATTTGTATTCATATAAGCTAATTGAAAATCAATTAATGTTTGAATTTGTTCTTTAGTAGCTATTTCTAATTCACGAACCCGCATATTGACAACACGTTCAATTTCTTCACGAAGCCGTGGAAATCGTCCTACCTATGATGAAAGCAAAATTTAAAAATAGAGAAACAGAGAGAGAGAGAGAACGCGTGAAAGAAAAATTATAATATAACATACTACAGAGTAGATAAGAAAATATATTTTAAAAAAGTGAACAGATACATAAATAGTTACCAAAGGTAAGTAAAAGTTTAATTTCAGAGTTATTATGAGAAACAGAAACAAATTGCAACCATCTAAAAACAGACGTACATGCAGGCTGATACGTTTTTTTAGAGGCGATAAGCTTTAAATGATACATCATAAGATAATATGGTAGTGTATGTATGAGTATCTATGTAGAAGGGTTTGGAATATTTTATCAACATAACTAATCAGATTTTCTTTTACTTAATTTTTCGCAATAAGATTAGATAGTAAAATGTGTGCACATATGAAGTATCTAATCATACAGATAACTAAGTAAAATGGTTAATTTACGTTAAAATCAAGTATGACTACATTTATCAAATAAATACAAATCATGACAACAGATGTTTCAGACTTTAGATAATGCATACACCACAGGAAACAGTGATATTAACAGGCTTAGTTTGCAGTAATCATAATAAATAATAGAAATGATCTATTTCTATACGGAGCAATTGGGGTGAACATCTAACTGATATATATATACGATTTTATGATAATCAATATGTCATAATTTATCGTGTGTTAAAATAATCATCATGATTAAATAAATATTTCGGTGGTGCTTCGTTCTCTGAGCTGGATGGTTTGGTCGTGGAGCTTTTTATTGTTCTTCTGAACAACATCATCACAAACTTCAAGTAAAAGTGAAGTATTCGAATTTCTCCACATGTGACTCATAGCTTGTCCTGTCGACCTCTTTCTTGACTAGTTAATCAGCTCAGCGAATGAAACTTCACCCAAATCATTCACTTGAGCTACAAATATTCTCCACTATCTCACAAACAATAAATAACTGAAAATTATTGAAAATAACCGAGTACTACTGGATGGTATTTTCCTTTTAAATCACATTCTCATCAGTAAATATACGTGTTAAAAAGATTCAAAACAATCATACTTAAGAAATGCCAAGCAGTTATTGCTGACTGTTGAATCATTTGTGAAAAATCCAACCAACGATATTGAAAATTTATTTTACTTGGAAAAACAAACATTTTGATTCGTGTTGTCATCATATTTTCATTGTGTTTTTAAATCACAACGATTTAGATACAAAACCGATGAGTTCTCATAGAAAGCATATATTTCTATGGAAGGACTAAGTATGAATGACAAATAAAATTGTATTGGTAGAGTGGAGATTATAATCAGTGTGAGTAGAACTTACATAACAATCTAACGAACGTGACCTCAGTTTGTTTAAAAGTTATAAACAGTGATGTAATTGTTGTAGAATTTGAGAATTTTGTGTACGTGTTCGCTTTTATAAAAAAAAGTGTTATTCATGACTGTACTAGTCAGTGAAAGACAACAGAATAGATGGTTAAAATGTTTAAAAAAGACACTTATTCAATGTCTTTTGAAATTTTAATAACCGATGGACTGGTTCAGTGAAAATTAGTGGTTGAATATGTAAACAGGTATTATTTTCACTTTGTTCAATTATTATTTCTCTATAAACTAGTATCACATTGAAGTTTTATGATGATTTCAATTTCTCGAATTCATTTATGATATGCACAATCCGGAATGTACGATCACCTACACACATACACTTGGATGAACACAAAGAACAAACACGTGATATATGAATTAAGCATAATGATTATAGAAAACATTCAATTTATTTCATGCAGATGATTGGTTATTTGTCACTATGCCTTCATCGTTAACACAGAGTGGTATATTTTCATATAAAAGTAACTGTATGTGGTCTTAAATTGGTGGTTGATTTATGAGAGGTAGAAAACCAATATACGCTTATAAAAAAGCTCACACGAATTAATGTTTGTTTATCCATACAAACTCTTTTATGCATGTGATAAAAGCTTGATATATTTTTGTCAAATGAAACATTTAATCCAATAAAATGAAAATCAGTCCTTAGAATACAATGATTACAACACATGTTCTAAAAACAATAATTATCAAGGGTTATCATGCGTAAATATGACATATTGCAAATAATTTCTTAAATATTAACAAAAAGATGAATCATATTTCTTCTACTGGACTTGATAAATCATTTGTTAAGCAACATTTAGTGTACAAATTGCAAAAGACTTGTACATTTTTGTAAAGTAACTATGTTTCTAGGATATAACTTATTTAAGTTCAAGTTTTCCCTGTTGTTTATCCTCAAGAACGAAGACAGATGAATATCGAAAAAGGTTAGGCTAGAACAAAATATAAATGTATAACCGTGTCGGGTGTGAAGCAGTTACCTACTGAAGACAATAGAAGATGGTCGTGCGATATTACAGAAGTTAGATATTAACACTGTTGAATACTGGCTCAATAGTTCTAGAGGTTAAGTGTTCGCGCGCAAATTCGTGGATGGGCACTGCTGAGGAGTACCATAGTACCACAAAACGGCTGTCTAGTGCTTCCAGGTTTTTAGTGGTGATCTAACATTGATCAGGTCATGGTTTCTATGAAATAAATTTGAATTAGGCAAAAATAAAAAACTGGGGGGAGAATAATGTAAGCTCACTATATATCGCGGCTTCTCTTCAGCTACTTACAACCATATTCATATTAAAGTGTAAATTCGGAGCATACACTTCAATACGAATAGAGCTGAAAGCAGCTGAAGAGAAAATATAATATATGGTGGGTTTACATCATACTCCCCCAATTGTTGTCCTGGCCTAATTAAAATTCATGAAGGGAAACAATTATCTGCAATTTTTATCAATGAGTTATTTTGTTAATCATTTCAGTTTGTGCTGAATAGTGATTCAGACGGTACAGAAAACTTTGAATCCTGTTAGTATTTTTAGCAGACAGAACTTTGCTGTCCGTTCATTCTAGATGACGTTACAGCTACTCATAAGCATAATAAAAATATATGACTACATACTTAAGTGGAGTAATTAGGATGAGGTTATCATGAATGAATGTCAATGAATGTGTAAAAGTAAGATTATTTAACAGGTAGACTTATTTCAAACAATTATTCTTTACCAGGGAAAATGGAGCTTTGAAACAGAATGAATACAGGTTTATTTTGCAAGATCTTCCTGCTTTTGTTTTGTACGAGCTCATCAAGAAGCATGAAATGTATGAAAAAGAATTGAGCAGAGAATGGGAACTTTCTTGAATATATTATCTACATATATTTCTATTCGTAACAATTTGATGGAGTATTAGAAAAAGACAAATAATTCATTTCAGAAAAACAGATAAGAACAACTTTCTCTACACTTTTGTATGTATCATGCTATAAAATATTAGTTTGGTAAACAAAAATAACTGGGTTAATTTGTATAAACAACAATAATGACAAGAAAAAAAAACTAATAATCTTACTACACTGTAAACACAATCACATCTTTAGGACTAGCTGACATAAAAACTAAATGGTAAAACGAAGAAAGAATATCTATTACATACAGATAAATATACAACAACAAATATTAGAATCGAAGTGAAGCAAATAAAAAGTGGAAACGTACATACGTAATAGCGAGAGGATTACATGGCAATTGTGACATAACATACAGATTAGATGACTGGATTGAAGTTGGTGAAAAAAAATTCAGGAAAGTGTTTTATGAAAAGAAACTCATATACACGAGTACGCATGCATATACATATTCATACATACACACATACTACACACGTATAATATAAACACACAAGTATATACAGAAAAAGACATTAAGTCATCAACAACACTAATTTCATACTAACATTTGATGATATGTTGATAACTTATGATTCATTAAGTATTCCGTAAGCGAAACGTGTATAATCTGGTGATAAACGGATGAAAGAATATTAAAGAGAATATCTGGACCAAACTGCTGTAGGATAGTTATATACATATAATACTTGACTTGATGGTAATGAAGTCAGTGTAGAAACGAGTAATTAAATGTTAATAGTAAAACAAAAAAGACGGCCACTTTTATTAAAAACGTTTCTTCACACACTGGTATAATCCGAAGAGTAATGGAAACGTATAAATTAGAATTCAATGGTATCGTGAAAGTTATCTTCAGATTTAATCGTTTTTCACGAACTCGGGTAATTAGTTGCCATGCGGTGACTAAGTATTAGGACCGAGATAGATCTCTAGTTGTTCTACTGGGAAGCCAGTATCTGTAATGTTATGATTCAGTTGCTACTTATTGAATGACTTTCGATCTGTTCTATGAACTGACTACAGTTAAGAACGTGAACCGAAAGATTTCAAATTATGAGTCTAAAACATTGTGCTCCCAGTAAAAAATGATGTTCAACTGAAATGAGATAACGATGCAACTTACTGAGTACAGAATCGTGTACTCAGCTTTGAGTTACGCCTAACGTGTGAGAGCTGGTGGACACTAACCAATTCTTCAAACTGAAGAAGCAAGGGTATACAAACCTGCAACCTAGTGGTTGGAAATAGAACTACTAAACCACAGCTCCATAAATATATACAGTTGCGAAGTTTCCAAATGGGAGTAAATAAATATCTAATACACCCTGAATTTTAATTGTTTTCTAGACTCATGTAAATCCGTGACGAAAACTGTTTTGGAATTGAACAGACCCCCACGAACTAGCAAAACGAATTTCAACAAAAGACAAAAAAGTATCCGACAGATGAACGCAATTACTAAACATAATGATGATTTCCGGTAAAATGGCTAGTCAACTAGATGGGTTGTTTTGTACTGAGGATGATACAACTGGGAAAAGGTATAAGAATCGATGTTTGGGGTAACCTGTTATTTCTTTTTACAACGCTGAAAGACAGAATATGGATCTGTAGGAGACTTTTATAAACATTTTTCTTTCGGTATTGAAAAAGAGGTTTATTGACTCGCTATTTCTGTAATAGGAAATTACTTTGTGCGAATTTTTCGCTGACGTGATTGCTCAAAAAGAAAATGTCTATTACTATGGATGACCTTAAAACTATTCTACAAATTCAGAAAACGCACAGTAATCCTAATCAAATGAGGCTTCTAGATGCACTTACTCACAAGTTCTCATTTCATTCCACTTCAACCTATCAACCAGATACATATGAAAGCATCGCAAATCCCATTCGTGAATCCAACTATGATCCTGAATTTGGTATCATATTTGATTCCAAGTTCCATCATTTCAAAGACATATTCCGTGTCGACTGCTGAGATCTCGATGATGCAACTAAAGTTTGTCTACTTTTTAGAAGATTTGGAGCACGTGAATATAATAAATCTGTGAATTTCATCTTGCCACAGTATCCTTTGTTTTCTGATACAGTCCAAATATTTATCTAAAACCAACTGGCTGAGAGCCGAGTGTTTTACCTATTAAGTCACTACTTCTTGAATCATTTTACTATGCAAAAACATTTGATCAATAAATTTTTATTCATAGGATGCATTGCCAAATAATAATAACGGTATATCGAATCATTTAACACAAAAAAGCGATACATTTAACCGTAACTATATCGTTTAGTTTCTTAACCTTGTATATCAAAAGTGCTATAACATAAATGTAGATGCAAATTGTGACAAGTGAAGAATAGACTAAATGCATAGTCTTATTCAAAAACAATAAAAGACTCAAATCAAGACGTGGCATTAGTTCATAAAGTCAGTGATAACTGGATTGAGTCGTGTAATTACGTCCAGACTACTAGGTTGGGATCTACACCAGTATCATAACTATTGGTTAGAGACTTTGAATGTCATGGCTGAGAAACATTCGCAATGATACATGTACATGCATTCTTTGTCTTCCCTTAAATCATATGTTCCTTATTTATCAGAACGAAAATTCTTAATTCTACGAATCCCTATTGTCAAATTATATCCTACATGTTTAATCTTTTCTATAACCATTAATACTGTTTTTACATATGCTACTCAAGTATCTCGTTATATTGTAGACTGGCAATTTGAACCGATACATAAATGTTCCAAGTTTTATTTTTTGTTTATTTAACTGATTGAATTAAAAACGTAAATAAAGAATAATACATCATACGAATTAGTTATTATGAAGTACATGTAAATAGATTAAGTAAATAAATAAACATATACATATTGATTTGGATTTATTAGTGAACAAAGGCAAAAGATGGATATACCAATCGATAAGTGATATATTGATTAATTGTTTAATGAGATACACAACCCATTTAATATAAATTAGCATAAGAATGAATGAGCAAATATTCAGTGTGTCTTTCATCTAGATCATATGACTGTTAAATATTTATACAGAAATCAAGCTGAGTAAACAATTAGTTTCTCAGACTCCAATAATGTTCTTTTTCATAAGTAAGGGTTTAAGTTTTTAAAATAAGTGGTAGCAGGATAATTCAGTACAAACTTCTCTATTTGAAGCATTAACACAAATCAATTTAGAAAGAAATTACGGAGAAGACAAAACCATGAAGCATTATTTTGAAGAATAGCAAATAACCTACTAGCGCATAACACGGTTAGCCATGCTATATTAAAATTATCGTGAATAACTGATAACATACCACTGAATCCAATGGTCGTTGAGAGAGGGAAAGGGAAGAGTTCAAATTTCGATGATTGAGAAAAATCTTAGGCTTCGAAATGTTGAACATATTCAGAGAACATTTGATATCAAACCCCTACGGTAATCACTGGACTACTCAATTTTTGTTAATAATGTTAAAGCCTTACTAGTAGCGGTAACTGTGTACATTTTTCTAATTGCATTTTTCACGTAATCTTAGGCTTCTTCTAATTGGCCTTCACTGCTGTACAATTGCATTAATAGTTGATTTACAGTTGAAATAAACTATTTAAAGGAGGAGTACGATTACATCATATCATTTGTCAAGGAAAATAAGGTAATAATCGAGTATTTCGAGAGGGAGAGCGGACTCTCCCCACTCTCGGTTGTACCAGGGCATTCGGGGGGGGGATACTTAAAACAACGATTGGCAGCTTTTACTTAAACAAAAGGTATATAGATGACACTTGATTATTTGTGATGAAAACAGTGACCTCAATGTCATTCTGGATAAATTCACTGGTTGATACCAACCCATCAAATTTAGTTGCAATCAGAATCGAATTCCAAATCACAGTTCCTCGATATCTTATGAAATAGAACATCAAACGGTAAAAGGAGGCACCAAATATCTATGCGCCACACTTCGACATTCGATTTGTATGAGGGCTGAAATACTGCTCGGGAGCCCAAACCACAGCAGAATTTTCATAGCTGAGTCCCATTAAACCGAAAGAGAAACTTGATTCAATGTTTATCAGAAAAGACCAGACGAATAGGCGCAGAAGACACGATACACGATAGAGGAAATATTCAACCTACAACAGATATGCCTCAAAAACGGTTATATATCCAGGTTTGTTGAGCGAAACATGAAACGAGAATTACAATTTGCAAGAACTCACACAGTTCCTAAGACAACTACTCTTCATGAATATTGGGTTCATCTTCAACCGAGGTACTGGTGTAGAGATTTTGTAGAATCGTCCAGCTAAACCTTTGAGAGAAACTTTTTATGCTGGCTAGCTTCATACCGTCCTTTCCAACTGTCTCATCATTCACGGATATTTCAAGGACAAACTCTCGCATTGTTTATTTATACGCTTAACTGTTCTTGTGGAGCACGTTTCATTGGCCACACAAGGCAAACGCTTTTTGAATGCATCGCCAAACATTTTCTTCACTGAATTGTTTTTAATTCTTTTTCAATGACACCGCAGGTTATTTTCATTGTTTGTTGGATAAACGTTTTACATAAGTAGGCAAATGATGCTGAACAGAGTACAACTATTGCTAACTTAATTACTCAGAGTTAAGTACCTTAATTATTGAGTAAAAAATATCCTCAGGATTGCGGGATGTGAACTTACTTAAACGACTTCATCTCTAAATACCGCTTCCATCATAAAAATATTTCAAAAAATATTTCCAGTTTCCAATAAACGTCTCTTCACTACAACAGAAAATTATTGCTAGTACATCGTTGGGAACAATTACGAGGGTGATTTAAAAACCGAAGGATAATAACTACCCTACAAGAAATATATAAGCTGAAGAAATCCTAACAGAACAAACATTGGATACAGATCTGTGATTCGACATTCATTTTGAAGAGAAAGTTAGTATCAATGTACAGAAGTATATTTCGTTGAATTTGTGAATAACTTTACCATGTAAATGAAAATAAACTGAAATATTAGCTCTTTATTTTCTCGAAATTTCCCTACCACTTGGCAAGGAGTTATTTTCTCATGTGCCAAATGAAAGAGTTGCCAAACTTCTAAGCCATTGTAAACACAAAAACTTGACAGTTAAAAACTGAACAGTATCATGGGAGACTGGAAACAATCACCTTATCTATAGTAACGACAATCTAAATTTAAAGACCTACGTGGCCTAATCATTGGATTTTAAACTAAAAAGAAACAAAAATTTAAGGTAAATATAGCTAATTTATTTTAAGGACTCCTATGCTATTAGTTGGGATTTTTCTACATGGTAGTTGCTTTCCATTTGTGTAAACACAAGCATATTTCCTTATTAAATATTTGAATAATAAAAAAACGTCGCATAAAATGGATAATTTATTTGTGTAATTAATCAATCGATTATATTTGCTCACCTTATCACTACATTGTTGCAAAACATCGGTCAATTTAGATACAACCATGTCAACGCATTTTAATGATGGAATTCGAAGTTTTTCAATCTGTTTTCGTACTGTAGCATCAAATGCCATATCCGGTGTAAACAATCCAGGCCTTTATTACATATATTGTCAAACAAACAATTAAGCACAAGTTACTGAATTGGCAACATAATAGCAAGACTAATACTAATACCAATAACAGTGGTAATAATAATAATGATAATTGAATAGCAAAAATAATTATAATTATCATAGTTTACCTGTTTCGAATGTCAATAAATTTAACCCATCTCTATACAGCACATATATGTATGTTTACCATAATGTAGATAAACTAGTACACGACAATTCGCGTTACGTTCATATATAAAAGTATGAAAGTAACTTCACCTTTTGAATCAATTCTATGTTCAATATTAAACACAACAACTTGTCTAATACCTTCATTCCATTCAGGTTGAATTCGTATTCAACAATTAGCGATGAATTACTTCAAACAGCTAACAGTGATAATTTAACTTTGTATCATTAAACATTAAACTTAGTTGGACTGTGACTAGAACATTTTAAAACTAGACTGTGAACACGAATGAATGACTAAGCATTACTGAATACTGAACTTGTCATTTCTAATTATGATGTTCTATGAAGTATAACTGAATCAGCTTAGATTTACGCATCAAATGACAGTTTTCGTCAAGATTTCATTAGATAATCAGTATTTCCAATTTAGTTCAAATAACTCTTTAAAACTTTTATCTATTACTTCAGCCAAGATGGCGAATCATGGTGGCAGTAGTACGTTGTTTGTTGAGAATGGTTTAATCTATGTTGAGCACAATTTTCCTGAGTTCCCATTAATAGTATTAAAAATAGTATTAAAAGCAAATCTTTAGGATAAACTGAATTACATTACTCCGTCAAATTTGATTGATCGAGCAAAATCGATTTTTAATATAACCATAGATAAAATTCAAGTGATAGATTTCTACACAGTTCTCATCACATTTATACTGTAATATTTATGATTACAGAAGATTAACCAAACCTGAGAGTTTATCTAACAAAGTTGCGTAATAAGTACAAACTGGTTAAGACGTTTTGCAAGTTTAAGATTATATATATTCTTATAACATTTTGGTTCCTGATTCGGATTATACCTGATGAAAAGGGAATATTGAGATTCGTACGACAAGAAAGAAGATAAAACTGTTGGCAGATGAAGGCTTTATTCATTTTGAAAATACGGTAATAACGTATTAGCCGAATGCAAATTTACACACAGGTTCTACTGGCATTTGATGACTAGTTGATACATTTCATTCATGATTCAAAATAGTGGGAATATAAAAACGTATTTTACACTGAATTAATGTGAAAGAATGTAATATGAAAAAAACCGGATTAATTTGAAATCATCTTGCGTTTTATCTCGTTCAAATAGATTTCATTACAACTAACCAAGCTACCAGCGACCCTACTAGTAAATGGTCATGGATCAGTAGAACAAACCGGTCGACTTGAATATAAGAGTATGTGTAGAAAATGAAGCTTACAATGGTAATTTATCACGAACAACAAAAAAATAATCCCCATAGTTCCAAAACGATACTGTGAATTGCCTTGTGATATGGGAGTATATGTTACCAGAGAGTTTGAAGTGAACAGTGGAATATGGAGAACGAATTTGATGACGCTTCTGTATTTACTGTACAGACTGTACCAAACTTTTACAATCCAGATGAATACCCCTTGGGGATATTGATGTTGTTCAAAACAACAATTAAAACTTTACAATTAAAATAGATTAGGTTCAGAGAATGTACTATTTCAATCACTACATTATTGAATACGAAATCATCAATAGATGGTCATCGGTAAAATCCTCTGCAAAGAACACTTACTTGATGCTTAAACGCATCTAAATAACTTCACGTACATTTACAAGTAATCAATAAAATAAGTAAAATCTACACAGTGAAATTCAATTTATAAATGAACAAAAATCTTTTGAGTTTATTACCTATTCAATCGTCTATAAGAAATTAAAAATAATTTTTTTACCTGACACCATGAATATTTTGAATAGCAACAGCGATTTCTTTACGTAGAGTTTTTTCATCAAATTCAATCTTTAAATAAAAAGTGATACAATAATAACCATATAATTGTTAATAAACATATATGAAAAGACAAATTTTACACACAGATTTGTACGTATAGGAGGAAATGTTCATCTGTCGTCTACGAGGATTCCTATAGATTAGAAGTTTACTAGTTAATAAGAATAATTGATGGATTTAAACACGAACTCTGGTCACAGATTTTTGAATCTCCTATCAGTGCCACATAACTTCACATTTGAGCCCAGAAGGGAAGACAGAAGATGAAAAATACGGAAGGAGCCTTGGCTTTGACGTCAGTTTACGTACAAAACAAAAGTGTATTTTTAGGTTTATGGGTAATCTTGATATTCTGGAAAAGTGCAAAATTTTAAGGCCTTAAAAGAACTCAAAAATAGAAAGGATATTGTCATAATACCAGCGGACAAGGGACGCACCACAGTAATCATGGACAAAGAAGAATACGCCAAAAAAGCCGAAGAACTACTGGAAGATAAGAGCACATACAAACTGATGGATACAAATCCCGTCAAAAAATTAGACAACCAAATCTCAAAGACCTTAAACAAGCTAGTCAAAGCAGGAGAAATAACAAAACAAGAACAATGGAGAATGAAATCCAACGGACCAGTACTTCCTCGATTCTACGGCAGACCCAAAATACACAAACCAAACATCCCACTACGTCCAATTGTAGCACTCCCCGGAACACCAACGTACAATTTGTCAAAAGAAATTTCAAGAATACTGAGACATTTAGTAGACTCAGCCAACCACTCAATCAAATCTCCCACACAATTCCTGGACCAAATTAAGGACATCCAAATCAACAACGACGAACTGATGATATCCTTCGACGTGACAGCACTATTCACCTCAATTGAACCAAAATTAGCAAAAGAAACTATATCCCTGCTGCTCAACAACGACACAAACCTCACTAAATACACGAAGCTTCAAATTCAAAGTCTACTGGAACTCATCAATTTATGCCTAACAACATACTTTCAATTCAACAACAAAATCTACGAACAAACGAAATGGACACCAATGGGATCACCAATATCAGGATTGATCGCAGAGGCAGTGATGCAAAGACTAGAAGCCACTGTATTACCAGTGATCAAGCCAAAAATTTGGATTCGCTATGTAGACGACACCTTCGTCATCGTCAAAATGAATGAACTAGAAAACACTTACAACCTGATCAACAACGTCTTCGATGACATCAAGTTCACCATGGAACAGGAGTCAAACAACCAACTAGCATTCTTGGATATATTGATCACTAGAACCGACACAGGAAAACTGGAAGCTCAAGTATATAGGAAACCGACCCATACGGATCAAATTCTCAACTACAATAGCAACAACCCCAGAGCTCACAAAATCAACTGCGTACACAATTTGTTCAAGAGGGCGAGGACACACTGCAGCACACTGGCAGCACGAAGAAATGAAGAGAAATACCTAAAGGATGTATTTCAGAAGAACGGCTACCCCATCAACTTCATCAAAAAAATACCAACCGCACGCAGCATTAGAACTCAAGTCAAGCACAAAAATCAACAAAAGGATCACCCTACTATATTTACAAGGAATATCAGAAACCGCGACGAGACTGCTGAGAACCTTCGGAATAGGTGTGGCACACAAACCGACAAAATCACTACAATCAATCTTATGCAAACCAAAAGATGAAAGAACAAAGGAAAACAAATCGAACATCATCTACAAGATAAATTGTGCCAACTGCGAAAAACACTACATCGGACAAAGCGGACGCCTCCTTCACCTTCGCCTACATGAACATCAATTAGCAGTCAGACGGCATGATATCTCTTCACTTATATCAATAGACGTGGACAACTGCGGACACTCATTCGATTGGAAAAATGTGGAAATCTTAGACAGAGGAAACTCCAAAAACACCAGAGAATTTTTAGAAGCCTGGCACTTAGGTCAATCAGCAATCAACAAGCATATTGAAATCAATCCAATTTATCAACCAATCAGAAAAATCATGCACAAACATAAGAACAAAAATCAAAACAATGGGAGACACAACCAAAACAAAGAAGCAAACAACGACAAATTTAAGGTCAATAAGAACCAATCAACGTCGAGGTGCACAGAACAAGCTTTGAGACACATATGGAGAAATTCAAACACTTCACTTCTATCTGAAGTTTGTGCTGATGATGTCGTTCAGAAGAACGATGAAAGCTCCACGACCAAACCATCCAGCTCAGAGAACAAAACTCCACCAAAATGAATTGTTTGACGTAGATTTATTTAATCGATGATTCTGGTGATATTGTAGATAGTTGTATCGGCACACTAGATGCTTTTCTTAAATTTTAATGAAATTTTCTATACAACATACAGTAACTTATCTAGTTGACACTATATTACAGCTATTGATTACCAATTTTTGACAAATCGTCATGAATCAAATGGGAATTTCGTGCTGGAGTATTACAGAAAGATAGAAGTTTATGTTTAATCACCATATATAGACTGTCCCATGAAACTGAAATGCATTATTTGTCATCATCGGACCACAAGGAAATTGAGAACTGTAGAATACAAGAAATACTTAGTTCAAATATACCATTTAGAATTTAACTGGTGAAGGACCTCTTAATAAAGTTATAACAAATGCATTGGAGGTACAGAATCTTGGATTTGAGTACCACAGTGAGAAGAAAAGTGAATCTATTAAGAAGTTTTAAAGTAAAACTAGATAACTTATGGAAAAAGTATCAATTGATGCTAGATCATATACTTGAAAATAAGAATTTACATCTGAATATTAAACTAATTAGCCTCACTTCATTTCACTACATTCACATGAGATGGAGATTATGAACACTTATATGTGTGAAAAATTAAGTTTAAATTATGAAATAAAAAATATGTTTCGCAGAAACAAAGTAAACTAATTCAAAATTAACAGGTTACATTCACCACAGACTGATCTCAGTTGAGGTATCACTGAAAACTGGGGAGGAATGAACAAATATTTCATCCTATTATGGGACTCCTTAGCAGTGAGTAACCCACGGCCACCTTAAGGATAGAACCCAGAACTTCGAGGTCTTGCAGAGAATACTTAACCAGTAGAACCACTGAGTCAGTGTCCGGGTGCACGATTCCACCTTCAATCAACTGGAAATAAAGCGCTACGATCACTTAATGACACTGGTGAAAATGTTTTATGAATCTATGTTGATCCAAGTCCCCATACCGCTTCAGTACAACTACAAGGAATCAACAAGATGGCAGAGTGAAAAAGTATATATAAAGTATCGGAACTCAAGATCCAGAGCAAAATAAAGAGTGAATGCATCCAGACCACTTGAAATGAATCTATATTACCTAAACCTAAACTTTTAGCCACTGATTGAGATCATCATACAGATTATTCTTGATGGCTAACAAGTGAATATCAGGAATAATAGACAAATCGTACCTGTGCATCTCATAAGAAATACTTGTGGTACAAGTCAATTAACTGGATTAGCAAATTCACTCATCTGATTCAGTGGACCCCCAAAAACTATTCATGCCTGAATTCAAAATTACTTGATAATCATAAAAATGGATATTTTAACTTTTTATTAAGATATATTTTGTGAACTAATTTGACGTTAAGTTCCTTCTAGGAAAGTCACAGTAAACCACGTTTTGTACTGAATGATACTTAAAAATGGGAACTCATCAGATAATAATCTTTATTTAAAATTATGTAACCCAGTAACTAAACTGCTTTTCTTGATCAATAGACATTAAGTGATAAATTCGGCTTAAAACCAATCACTAACATATGAATGATTTATATGCACACACCAATTTACAGAATGAGTGGAACATGTGCATAATGCACTTCAATCTATTGTATGGTATTTGAAATACATTAAATTCATCATACAATTTATCTTACCTTGAGTAAATCATATCTAAAACGTTCATGAAACACGCGATTAATCTCAGCACCTCCAGACAATATTTGTGTATTGACGTCAGCTACATGTCCACTAATATTTTGAGAAAATTCTGCTTCAAATGACTGAACCATCCTGATAAGATAAAGTAATGGAAAGTATGGAGCAGAGCTAGTGAATATTTTAAACACCTGATTATTAAATATTGCAGGATTTAGATTTTCCCCTTTAACTGCAACAATTTGGAGTTAAGTCCATTATGTGGTTTGAACTTAATTGTGCCGACCTCCACTTAGTAATTCAAGTTGCAATACCACTTGAAAGTTTTCGGTAACTCATTTACCAGATACACATTTATGTACTTGATTTTGAGTTGTACTTTAAGTGTCAGGGTCGGTGATACAATCCTAATAGAAACATGGGAGTTTGAACTTGTGAATTAATAGCTGGAATTTGAACTTCATAACCATTGACCCAACACTTCACCACTTCGAAACTAAGTTCTGCATATTCATTACGGTGGTATCTCATAACAGCAAGAGAATTCTATGGGTCTGACCATTCCACCAACATTTTTTCTGAACGTTTTCATAATGATTAGTTAGACTTTAGATGTATAGTAGAGAAGACTGAGAATGTAAAACCGGCTTTTAAACAAGAAAAAATTAGTCGATTATTAACTAAAGCTGGGGTTAAAGGATGCATCTAGATAGTGGACTCATTTTTATTAGTACTGCTAATGATAATATTGAATAAGAATCAAGTCCCAGATTACTTTTGAGTTTCAAGTTGGGGACATCAAAGAAGGAAAATATATCACTACAGAAAACAATCAACTCTCGTCAAGTATTGATTCGGTAATTTTTTGTAAGTGCCCATCGATAGTCTAGCTCGAACGACGTTAGGTAAGTGAGAAATAAACAAGAAAAGGCTTGGAAACGAGGGAAAACTTGTGGAATCTGTCTACACTCACTAAACAGTATTGGTAAGAAAATTACAGTGAACTTACTAGGAAGAACAAAAATGCATAATCCGGTAATTTATTAACATCTACTAGTCAAAGAATTTAGTCTATTGACCTTGTAAATTATATGCTTACATCAAGTTACTAAGTAATTATTGTTAACTAATCCCAGTTCAATGTAATCAAATTTTATCTAATGACCGGATATTTAAAATGATATACGACAGTACATTTTGATCATTATGACTCAGTGGTTGGTACATAAATAAATCTTCATTTACAGTTTGGACTTTTTTGTGTCGAGATAAATCATTCTTGTTCTGTTGAGCAAGTAGCAAATAAATTTATAACGCAGTCATAACAAATAGCCATACAAGCAACAATGTTAGCATTTTTAAGTTCGTTACAGACAGACTTGGTGGTTTATATAAACTATCACTTTCATTTTACTACCTAAAGTTTAATTTCTAGCGATTAGACTTAGTTATTAAATTGGTTAGCTAAAGATGAGGTGAAGTGCTTTTTTCAAATTGAAATCTAGCCTACATCACGTCATAAAATAGAATGAACAGGATAGTATTTAAGTTTCCGCTAGGAGGTTGAAGAAATTGTTTAGCCTGAATAAAAACCCACTGGACAAATGTAACTAGGACAATAATTTGATCAGCAGACAAAAATAAAAAAATCTACATAATTATAAATTCCAGTTATAAATCATTAACTTATTTTACATAAAGATAAGAAAAAGGAATTAATTACTGTAGCAATGCTTTTGTTTTATAAGCTGGGTCGTCTGGACGATAATTACGAAAGTCAGAAACTTCTTTTTCCAAACTAATTAGTTGGGCTTGTAACCGACTACGTAGATGTGGCAGAGTATCGCGGATATGATTCGTTAGTTGTTGATTAAGTATACGTTGGAGATAAGGAGTTCCCATACGATCAGCCATATGACGATAACTGGGATGTGAAAGGAAAAATCTACGTTCGGCTTCCAAGGCAGCAGTGATATTTTTGCGCCCATCTATATCTCGCTGGCTTCTGTTGACTACACCTATATAACCTACAAAAGTAAAAAAATAGGTATGAAAGGTTAAAGAGGCGAATTACAACATATCGACGTAAAAGAACTCCTGATAACATGAGAGTAAAATGTAAAAACAAACAAGCAAACAAAATAATCACTAGACCTGAAATGATGATAATAAATATTATAAAGACATAGGATTTCTACGTAGTACTAGATGTGAACAGTAATTTGTGAAGCCTGTTTCAAAATAGCTAGCTAAGACCAAGAATAATATATATGTATTCGGTATTTTGTGATTAGGCTTGAATCTTAAAAATATGAAAGACAATCTACAACTAAATTAAGGTAAGCTTGTGAGCGATCGCTTTGGAATAGGACTCTGATGATTGATGTACCAGTTCCGGTTCCACGACTTCTGACTAGTGTTGAAAAGTAATCAAAAAGATAAATGGCGTTACGCGTTTCCAGAAAACAACATACAAAGAGTGGAATAAGCAGATATGGGATACATCCATGTGTTTCAGAAGGGAACAGAAATCAGATATTCATTTATTTCCATTTATTTCTAACATAAAAACTTCGGTGAATTATGGAGCTGATATTTCATATCGTGGAACGGTAATATTCCGAAAAAACAGAAGGGGGAAGAAGCCTATGATCAGTAAATTGATGAACATACTTGTTATTTTCTGACATACTACTTGATTAAAAAACCTGGAAATTTCATTACATTGAAAGATCTCATCGTGTACTTGCTTTACAGCAGAGTCGCCATTGGATTTTAATTTGAGACATGTCTAATGATGTTTAAAGCCACTAAATTGTATAACCTACGGAACCTCGCCCAAGAAGTGATGGGCCAACAAATCCTAATTCAATGCAACTATTTTATTTAGCAAGACTCTACGTTATTAACTGACCAACTACAAACTGTTTTGTACAAGAACGTTAAATACCAGTCCATTGCTTTTAATATCATTGGTTTACTACACGAATAATATCCAGAATCTGACTATCAAGCTAACGGAAAGTCATGTGTACAGAATCAAGTGGGACGAAAAATATATTTGGAAGACCTATAATGCATTAGATAATTGTACAGATTAACTCATTAATACTACTAAATATGTATAAACCTCTTCAGATTGGTAAATTTGAACAGTTGGTGGGTTTTAGATTAACCGAAGTTTTTGGAATAACGGGTAGTGGATTATGCGATGAGACAGGTTAGGAAATATCTTACGACCTAACGTAAATGTGCATCCATTGCGCATTAACATTAGCGAGCAAAGATCAGGAATGGTGACAACAAAGAAACAAAATAATGGCAACGACAGGATTTGCGTGAACATGTAAAGTAAAATGAAATGTTTACTGATTAGTAAAAATATAGATTGGATGTGTTCATATCGGTGCAATTTATCTCAAGCCACATTTATCTCCATGATCTCGACTTAAAGAACTTTGAACCATTAGCTGAGTGTTGTGAAAACTTGATTTTATTCATTGACTAGCAGGTTCAAATACTTCTACACCTAGTCACGAGCAAAAAGTAACCTAGTATCAGTGAGACAATCTGAGATTGATGGAACGAGAGTAATTACTCTCTGAAGGCGTCTTGAACGCCGGTCACAAAACTTTGGAGAACGGTCAATATTCTAATCCAACAAGGGGGTTGGAGAGGGTTGCCTAATTTTAATATTTGTTCGACTCATCACTAGTTCAGCACAGGGACAAGGTCATAGAAGTCAGCATATTGATCGGCAATTTTTGTCATGTGATATTTGACGGGGATAGAACATAACAATTTTATGATGAGGATTTCGGGAAAAAAGTAATCCATAAAAAAGTGACGACGGAGGTTTTTCGCTGATGTGATTGCTCAAAAAGAAAATGTCTATTACTATGGATGACCTTAAAACTATTCTACAAATTCAGAAAACGCACAGTAATCCTAATCAAACGAGGCTTCTAGATTCACTTACAAGTTCTCATTTCATTCCACTTCAACCTATCAACCAGATACATATGAAAGCATCGCAAATCCCATTCGTGAATCCAACTATGATCCTGAATTTGGTATCATATTTGATTCCAAGTTCCATCATTTCAAAGACATATTCCGTGTCGACTGCTGAGATCTCGATGATGCAACTAAAGTTTGTCTACATTTTAGAAGACTTGGAGCACGTGAATATAATAAATCTGTGAATTTCATCTTGCCACAAAATCAAGAGCATGTTTGCGACTTTTAAAGTCGAATTTCAAAGTAAAAGGAAGAATGTAAACTTATAAGCGAACAAAAAACCTATTTGTCCTTAGTCAGATACGGCTTCCAACATTACATTGGTTTCCAAAAACACGTACCACAAACTAGGATGTTCACGCATTGAAGCGACCGAACATGTTTCCCGGAATGCCTCAGGAGAAGTTATATGCGAGTTACAAGTCAAAGGACATAAATTCGACGGTGTTTGTTATCTGACAAATCGGTATGATTTAGATTTATTAGGTTCAGACTAGATTTAAAAGATTGACACCTCGAATAGTTTATTTAATGAGGTATGTTTTCATAATCCTTCCTTTGAACCCATTCAAAATTCTCATAATATTTTCAAATCAAATGCCTGCAATAAAATATGCTATAATAAGATTTCCGAATTTCATGCATTATGTCCTAATGATATTACTACACCAACATCCTCTGTTTCCTCCCGAATGCCGAAATCTTATGTTAATTATTTTTGGCAAAAGCATGCAGTTGTATCCTGCAACAAAGTGGGCTGCTGTAAGTTTACCAAAGTGTTTTTGTCATTAAAACCAAAGCAATAAGGTGTAGGAGGAAGAAACTGAAAAATGGAGACTCAATTCAATCGTCATCACAGAGCGAAACGTGGAATATCCCAAAATAGACAGGAAGTATACTCGCCTCCCCAGTGGACGTGCACTTAAGAAAAGAAGGAACGTAATGTATGTGGTGAAAGTTGAGGGTCGAAGGAGGATACATCATGCCAACCACATACTGGAAAATTACAGTACGTCACAGAAAACTGAGAAACTTGGCTCACTGTGGAAAATCTTCTTAAGCACTTTAGACATAGCTTTTTGACTGGTGATTCTTTTATTATTTATTCCAGTTCACCAGATCGATAATGTTTTACAAGGATCACAACGCTTGTCACTTTCCCTTACCTATACACTCAGATAAATGGAGGAAGATGATGTGAACAGAAATATACTAAAGCTATGAAAAATGACGGAAGCTATTTTTCGGGACACTATTTCACTTAATTCAAAGTTTGTACAATACTAACACTTAGTTTTACCGTTGGTTATTCTATAAACAATAAGATTCTGTCTGATGCGTGACTCACTGCCATACTCTTTTTTGTTCCAAACTAGATTGAGACAAGTTCTCTCCTGTATGTTATTTGGTAGACAGATCAAGGACGTAGCACCGATACTGGACTTTTCTGTTTATGACATGTAAGAAACACCTATGAAGGTATATGGTAGTGGAACTGATGATTTTCAAAAAATTTGTGCTCGTTGCTTACGGAGAATTGTTCACTTTCAGCAGCAACATTATGTTAGTAACGCTGAAGTTTGAAGATGTAAATTTGAACGCAATGATAATTAGTGTCACGATCTTGAAACACTGACTTCGATAGCTCGGTCGTATCTTACGAATATCATTCCAGCAGTCGACGATGAAACTGGTTGGTAAAGCCGGATGGTTAATTTACGTTACGGGGAGTGTTATATAAAAATAGGGGCATATGAGTAGTATGTCAGTTTACTACGAATCCTCGATTGGAATCCTAAAGATCGTGCAACTCAGATAAAACTCAGAACGAAAACTAGTACCAGATCATATTCTTCATAAAAATGAGGACTGTAGAACTGGTATGAGTTAACACCTGAACTAGTGGTAAGAAGTAGAGTACTCTGATCCTCTGACCTTGGGATTCTCAGTAGCCCTAGTGGATTGGTATCCGAAGAAATTTCGGCACAGATCTAAGAACCCCAGATGACTTCTGTTGACTTGCGTCACTTGTGGAGTAGGCGAGAGGTACGTTTTCCAACGAAAGGGTGTGTATACTGCGCAGCAGTCTTTTATGCTTTACACTATGGTTGTGAAAAATGGTCTATGAAAGTGGAAGACAAGTGTGGGCTTAAAGTTTTTGGCCATAATCGTCTTTAAAGAATTTCTTGAGTTTTGTGAAGTGTTAGGCAGAGTAATACACGAAGTTAGAGAACAGCTTGATGAGGTAGTGAATCGTCATCGACTGAAGTGTTTAGGATGTTTAATACATATCCCTGACCACAACTCAACTCGACAAGTGATGCGTATTAGTGGAGAAGGCTGGAAGATAGAGATCGAACCAAAACGCGGCAATAATGCATGAATTTATTGACAGATGTAGACCACCTGACGAAGGTCTGGGTGATAACTGTAATTGAGTGACACGGCTTAGAATATATCACACAAGCTTATCCACTTAAACTGAAGGCTTGAATTTCCATAACTGTAAAAAGATTTGATTAATGTAGAGGACAAAACGTTTGATACACTAGTTAATTTATGCATTTTATGAAAACTAACTGAGATGAATGAAGGTCTTGGAATGTTGTAATGAGATAATATAATTTCTGATGAATTACGAATTACTATAAAGTACTATGTCGATATCAGCAGTAGAAATCTCCTGTTCTACTAATTAATCATTATTAGATATCAGTCTTACTTCTATAGTCAGAATTTGGGGAGTAAGATTACGTCCTCAAAACCCAAAACATTTGACTTCGCCTCAAAAGTATATTTTACCTAAAGGTATAATATTAAGTTTGGATTGTAATGTACGGCCTTGTCAACTAGAACTCTAAATCCGAAGACCGGAAAAACGTATATAACCTAGAGTTTGAACTTTGATACTTTAAGGCAACAAATATACTAAAATAAACACCAAACAATTGGATTACCTCTTCGTAATGGGAGCAATCTATTTTCGAGAATTTCCTGTGCATCTGTTCCCTCATCCATCAAATCTAACTTTGTTATTACCCCGATAGTACGCAGACCCTGTGGGTCATATTCCTTAGCAAGTTTCAAGGCATCGGAATTAGCGAGGTCTGAATTAGCAGGGCTAACAGCCAAAATAAGACAGGAATCTCTCTCGATAAATTCAATGATCATGTTGCGGATTTGAGTTTCGATATCCGGTGGCTGATCGCCAACAGGAACCTTGGTCATTCCGGGAAGGTCAATAAGGGTAAGATTGAGGACTACAAAGAATGTAGGAGTAAGATCAAAATGATTACAACACACCGCTGGGGGAATGGATCCTGAGGTTGATTGGAATGTTTGAGATACCCTTATTAGAGCCAGTGATTCTGTCAGTTTCCTGTTCGATTTCCCGTCGGATGTCATCAAAATCCGTGAACTTTTTATTTTTACAGTGAATAAATTCCCCATATTCAACTGTTTAAAAGCAGTGGAATGAGTTAAATAAAACTCCTACCTGACTTATCATGGACCAGTTGCAGAATGAGCGGTCTCCTTGTGACTATACCACTGCCTCTCGGTAGGAAATCACTTTAATGGAAGTGTAATTTTATTTGTAGCCTACCGCCCCACGAAGTTTTCCAGCACTGAGCTTTTACCAGCACTTTGGCTTCCCACAACTGCAATCTGAGGTAAATCAAGGTTCAAAGGAAGGTTAAGGGATGCGAAAGCATCCTGAAGCTTATTAACAAGAGGTATAAGCCTTTCCATCCCTTCATTCCCATACATTTTGCAATAACTATAATTACTGAAGATTCGTACAACCCACCGATGAATAGCCTTGAGAGGTCTCTGGGTCAAGCTGATTATCACAACTTCAAACAATCAGTTCAGATTTGTGTAGTAAGGACAGAAGGCCTACGGCCTACGTTATTCCCTATGTGGTATGCTTCTATGAGTGTTTAGTCTTCTCTTGAAAGAGTCAATTGAAGGTGCGGACACCAGTGCTCCGGGCAGCAGGTCCTAAGTATTGATGATTCGGTGTGAAAACCTGTATGCCACGGGTATTTTGTTCGTTCTTGACTTTTCTACTCGCCTGCTATGTCCTCTGAGATGTCCCGATCTAGTGGGAAGAAAAAGAGAGAATAAGTTAGGTCCGAAATCATTTCTCAGTATTCTGTACATCAAGATTAGATCTCCCCTTAGTCTGCGATAGGACAGAGTAAAGAGGTTCAGTTTTTCAAGCCGCTCTTTATATGATAAACCCCGGAGTTCCGGAATTACACGCGTAGCTGCCCTCTGTACTTTTTCTAGTATGTCTGAGTCACCTTTTAAACAGGGGCTTGCAGCCTGAACACAGTTCTCTAACTTAGTTCTCACTAAGGATGTGTATACTGTGGTGAACATGGTAGTATCAAACTTAGTGAATGTCCTTTTTAAAGCCCAGAGGGTTCGAAACCCCTTAACTGCGACCTCCCGGCAATGGGCCATCGTCTTATGATCATGACTCACTGTCACCCCTAGATCCTTATGTCACCGGACCACTTCCCCTATGTTGTACCTATTAACCTTTGAATCCACAAAGTGCATGTAGACACACTTTTCCGCCTTGATAGGCATCAGCCACTCTTTAGACCATTTAATCATATTATTTGAGTCTGCCTGAAGAGCACCTGTGTCTTTGTCTTCAGTTATTACTCGCCAGATTTTTACATCGTCAGCGTATAATAGCATTGGAGACTGTACTATAATTGGAAGATCAATAACATACATTATAAAAAGTAAAGGACCTAGGACGGAACCTTGAGAAACCCCACTAAGTACTGTTCTCCAGATGGAGCACTTGGAATTTATTCTTACTTTCTGTCTACGACCTACTGGGAAATCCTTAATCCATTTTAAAAGAGGTCCGGCAATACCAAGGTTTTTCAACTTCAATAGCAGTCTATTAGGTGACACCTTGTCAAAAGCCTTACTGAAATCTATGTAGACAACACCCACTGAGTTTCCGTTGCCCAGTGCATTTATCCAGAACTCCCTTGCTATAAGGAGGTTCTTTGTACAAGATAGACCCTTTCTAAAACCATGTTGTTCCATGTTTAGCAAGTTATTGGTTTCCATAGATGCCATTATGGTCCGTTTGACTATTCTTTCCATTATTTTAATCACAACACTGGTGAGGCTTACAGGTCTGTAATTCGATGGAACTTGTCGTGAACCTGTTTTGTATATGCGATAGACGATCGCGTCCCTCCAGTCCATAGGTAATACTCCTTGATCGAGTGACATGTTGAATATCACAGTCAGTAGGGCCGCGATATATTGTGCAATATGTCTCAATATTTTGGGGTGTAGTTCATCTGGTCCTGTTGACTTTTCCATGTTTAAAGTGCTAAGAGCCTTAAGTACAACGTCTTGATCGAAGTCAACGGTTAGCAGGTGGTTTGTTGACTGTTTATTTTGATCTGGTTCTTTCTCTAGAGGAGGTTCCTGAGTGAAAACTGTCCCAAAATAGTCAGCCATAGCGTGTGCTTTTTCGTGAACTTCCTCTATTATTCCAGATTCTCTTCCTCCTTTAATTAGGTTGGGAATCCAATCATGCATACGAGAATATACTCTCGGGCTGCTTGAGTGCAGATTGTGCCAACTGCATTCCATATTTTCTTTGAGCTTCCCGAATTTTAGCTATACACTTCTTACCGACCTGTAGCGTTCCGTCGTATCTGCTGTGCTAAGGCAGATGGCAACATCCCAACATTTCTTCTTTTGTCTTAGTAAACGTCGAATATCTCGGCCTATCCAGAAATGGCCGTGCTTCTTCCTCTTTGGAACCGTCCAGGGGATGTACGGTTGAGTTACCCGATTGTATTACTGCCTGAAAAAATTCCATGCCTTTTGTACTGATGCCCTTGAGTTCATTTTCTCAGTTTTCAGCCCATGCTGCACAGTTGATTGCCTTCATGTCTGCCTTCCATATGTTAGGAAGGGCCGGCGCAACTGTTCGACGGGCAATCTCAGCAATGAATTTGAATAAGATGACTACATGACCGCTTCTCCCTGGTGGTGGGAGAAAAGCCATTTGACCAACGTCATCACCGTGTGTGAAGACCTAATCTAAAAGAGAAGAAGAGCTTCTTAAGTCATATCTTGTGGGGTTTCTATTGTGTTGGAATAAAGCTAATGCAGTCGAGTTTTCTAACAGCTTGCAATCGAACGATGTTATCGATGACCCTACTTCTAAGTTACCCAATTTATATGCGGTGCATTTAAGTCACCTACTACAAGGCTTTTACCCTTGTTACGCCAGGACTTGAGTTTATTTAGGAGAAAATCATCTGCTACACATTTTGGACTGCGATGTACCACAACTAATTCAATATCTTGCCGTCTACATTTCAGCTTACATCGCATCGGTTCACATGTCCCTGACACATGTGCTACCGTCGCAGCTAATCTACTGGTTAGGGTACTTTTCGTGTACAGAATAACCCCGCCTCCCCTTCGGTTTAATCTATCAGCCCTACTGGTTATGAAACCAATCAACTGGATTTCACTATCTAATACCTCTGACGTTAACCAAGTTTCCGAGACATCAATAACGTCCGGTTTTTCTTTATCCACCACTGACTTGAGCTCCGCCATTTTATTTAGTAGGCTGAGAGCATTTGTGTAGCATACCTTTAAGTCTGTGGAGAACTTTCCCTTACCACCCAGAGTGGCTTGGGGATCGCTTTGCTCTGAACTTTTACAATTTGAAAACCCTTAAGAACGAGGTTTCTTTCACCGTTTTGGCGACGCTCATTTATTTTCGCTTCTGCAGCTCGCCTCTTAATACGATCAGCTAGGCTGAGATCCTCACGGACGTATATTCCGGATCCAATCAGTTTACGTGAATTACCTAGAATCAGGTTTCTTTCTTCAACCGTGATGAATGTAACCTTCAAGAGGCGGTCTTTCTGAGGACTTTCGTAATCCACCTTTTTTCCTATTCTATAAAGCTTACAAATACTAACTCCTGAAACTGTATCTGGGAGTTGTTTACTTATTAAGGACGTAATATGATTGAGATCGTGTTCAAATCTAGACTTTGATTCTTTATCGGAAGATTCTTTTAACTTATGAAAAATGACTGATCTCTCAGAGAGATCTGTCTTGTCACGCAGTGGAGATTTTGCTTCTGATACAGTCTCTTCCAATGACTTGCTGACCAGCTGTGTTTTACCAACAGCTTTCTTCTTCTCATTTACCTTTCTCCGTACTGAAGTCCACTTATCACCACTCAGGACAGCCACACTGGGACTATTTGGAACGGTGACAGTCTTATCCGGGTCTTCAATTTCGACTAGAGGTGTATGATTGACGATGTCAGTATATAGCGGCACTTCACTCTTTGTTAATAATAACGGAAATTTCATTTTCCCGTCAGTCACAGTCGGGTGTTTAGCGGGTCCGGTAGCAGCACCGTAAGTGCTCGTGTTATCAGCGCTACCGCCATCGTTTTTCTTACAGGCCAAAGCCGATAGGCTCATAGCCTCCTGAATTAGTAACTTTTATTTGTACAGCAGAACATACAAAGCCAATGTGAGTTAGGCTTCGAACATCTTTTGCATGCCATAGGACTTAGGCGTGTATACATCTTATGGCACCACTTATTACAATCATCGCACAGCGTCCATTCCTCAACGGGGAACAAGCAGTTTGGTTGTCCACATTTATGAGTCTTACCAACCATTTTAATTTTGATTAAAAAGGTTTAAAACACAAAATGATCACAATGTGAACGCCAGTGTCAGTCAAGGAGTAAAAAAAGGTACCACTGGACAAAGTTGAGCAAAAATTGTATTCTGGATCGATTGTTAATGTACAGTTACAGCAATTGTTCATACTGAAATATCTCGCGCAACGTGTGTGCAGTAGACGACAATCTGAGAGAAGAAAACCAATTTTTATAGCCATCATAAATGGACACAAAACGAATTTTTTGAAATCGATGACCGCTAACTTCCGTTTAACAATGTTCTCAATATTGTTTCCAATGTGGACTCAGATTTACCAATTACTGTTATGTTTGACGACCCATACTGACAGTCGTTTAATTATAGGTGGTCATTTTATGAATTTGATTTTCTTGGCATGTACGGGTTAAGACGTCTGCCAAAATTATCACTACTATGGTGAACGAGATTGGATAGTAATGTATTTTGTAAATTTCTTATAGGACTGTTGAAGAATACGTCTTGTATTGAACCCATCGTAACCAAGTGATGATTTTTGTTCATTCAGTAGCCTAATAGATTAAAATAACCAGTGTTTTAAAAATCATTCAAATTATCTGACTAAAGATTAACCACACTTTTTTATTTTTAATCGTATTGGAACTAAACAGAAAATTCAGTTTGGAAGAAGGTTCTATATGGGCGTAATTTCGAATTTATTGCATGATAAATGCTCGAAGGAGTAGATGTTCGAACATCTTATGCAGTTTATGAACATGAATTTGTAATATCGCCATTTATGTCTACTCATATTCCATAGTGTTACGTTTACCGCTAGGTGAAATGCTCCACGAAACTCCCTCATATGTTGTGTTATAATTAATCCCCTCAATACGATCACCTAATTGATAGTGAGCTACAAACAATAAACGTTTTTGGTCTGGTGCATCAGTACGTTATGGAGCGTTCAACAATATATTGTAAGGAAAACTAATAAAGGTGCCATAGGTATTTGGAGTTTGACGACACCTTACGCAGTAACACCTTCTATAATCAAAGCGTGCCTACACAGTG